ATTTTTTTCTCAGTGGAGTTTCAGAGTTTAGGGTGCTCTGGGATCGTGGACCAGGTGTTTTAAAGGAATCCTCATAGAGCCCTTAACCTAACCCTTGTAGATTCCTTAACCCTAACGCCTAAACCCGAAACCCTTAAAGGATCCCTCAAACAAACCCTAGAGGGAGCCTAACCCCTATACAGGTCTTATACCTTCAAAGGAATCCTACTCTGAACCCTAAACTCTAAACCCTTAAAGGATCCCTCAAAGGCATTCGACCTGCCGACCTCGACAGGTCCAGGTCTGCGAGTCTGCGCAGCAGGCGGCCATCCGCCTCGCCAGCCTACGCCGGCGCACGGACCGGGACTTGGGCTGGAGCCGGGCTTTAGACCTACGGTTGATGATACAAATCCTGCATGACCTTAAGGACCCTCAACTATGGTATAACCCAAACGGTTAGCCTTTAGTTCCCCATGATACCCGACAAGTAGGTAGAGTACCATACTTTAATACGTCTTTGGGACCTGGTACTTAACGGGAAGAATGAAAGTCTGTCCCTGGTTGCTTCAAAGTCCAGTCAGGCTTATGAAACGTCCTGTAAGGCTTTAGGGTTTGAAAGGGTAGGGCTTTACATGGTGTTAGGGGATTCTACAGGTTTTTGGGTTTAGGGTTTAGAGTTCGTAGGGCTGAAGGGTTGCGGGGGTTTGAGTAGGACTTTGGGATTTATGAAGCCTGTGAGTGATCTACAAGGTAACTATTCGGGTTTCGGATTTCAGGTTTTAGGGTTAGGAATTTAGTGTTTTAGGGTGTAGTGTTTGCCGATGTGGGGCTTGAAGTTTATAGAGTTTATGGTTTGGGGTTTAGTTCCATTTGTTGGGGTTGAGGTTTACACAGTGTGCCTGCAAAATAAGATTGGGTTTTGTGGTATGTTGTAGTATGTTCATATTGGGGACTAGAAGCCGGGAGGCCGTAAGGGGCCATTGTGAGGGTCTTCTGTAGTTTAGCGACGGGTTATATAGGGTTGTATAGGGCATACTGAGCTCATATCGGGGTTTATGCAAGGTTTGGGGCCGTTTAGGGTTGTCATTGCCAGACCCTTATATAAAAACCCCCAAACTGAAACTTAAGTTGCACGATCCTCTCGTGAAAGCGGCCGTGACCAAGGCCGAAAAGGAGAGTGAAGAAGACATGCAGTGGACCTACAGCGAGGCCTTCCTGCCAGGGATTTCTAGAAGCGGGAAGCTATCGCTCTACATTCAGTCTAAAACGATGCGTTTTTCGAGGCATCAGCTTTCCCGTGTTGCCTGTTCAGTTCGTTGAGAGCAGCCATCGCAATCCCATGCACATCCATCCACCATAGTGGTCCACCATATTGTGTGTGCGAGAGAGAGTGTCGAGCCGTGTTGGCATAGTCCGGAAATCCCTCGCAGCCCTGGTTTCACATGTAGTCTAAACCCTAAACCCTAAACCCTATAATGTAAGCAAGAGCAGAAGCCTGCGCCCGTCTCGTCTCGTCTCAGAGGGATTCTTTCCTCGGCGCCGGCGGCTCCTTCATCATACTCTTTCTTGCCGTTGGTTAGTAGGGAATGGAAGAATGGTAGTACTAGTAGTTATAATTATACCCCATTCCTCCATTCCCTACTAACCAACGGTAAGCTTTACGTAATGCAATGTAACCCAGTGCAATGGTAAGGATCAAGTGTGCCTTTCCACAGGCCGCAGCTCCATGCCTATAGTCTAAAGTCCTGCGCAATGCAGAGAGCCACGGCTGCGACTATCCACGAGTCAAGTTTAGCCTCCTTCAGTGCAAGCTGCTCAGAAACCTACAGGACGCAGATCGTTACTTATTGATGGATCCGTGAGCCAGAAACCCCTGTCATTGTCCTAAACCACAATCCCTTTACAACCCCAAGCCCAAATCTGAAGTTTCAACCCCCCAACAGAGTACCGTCATACACTTGGGGATCTCCGTAGGTGTAGTTCATTCTCTCTGAACCCGTGTATGATTGGGTATAGTGCACCGAAATCGGCAGCACACCTTGCTCGAATCTTCAACCTGACCCTTAAACCCTACCCCCCCGTTCCCACAAAGAAACGGACCTACAGTGCTCTCTGCATACCCTCATCTAAACCTAAACCTTAAACCTAAACCGTATTTATGAAGGTCCCACGTTGATGTTGCTCTCCGAATACAGCAGCAGCACCTCGTACGCTGCCCCAGATCCCAGGACGCTGCGCTGCCGTCCTCGCGGCTTCCGGAGGCCACGCTGACCTTTATCGACAATACTTACAATCACTAAAAGGGTTAAGGGCTTGGGAACTATCGTGCCACGAGCATGGCAGCTTTTGGGAAAGATCGTGATGATAATGAATACCAATATTGCTAACAATCATGAGAGGGGTACTCTTAGCAACATGAGTATTAGCAACCATCCTCACGTTTATTCTTATAAAAACAAGTCGTTGGTCGAGGGACGGCCATTAAATGATTCCGCTTGAACCAGCTGCCGACTGGGAGTACGACATGCCCCCTGGCTGTATGTACATGTGTGTGCTGTGTGAATGTATGTATGTATGCCTGTGTATGTATGTAATGTATGTATGTATGTATGCCTGTGTGTATGTATGTATGTATGTATGTATGTGTGTATGTATGTATGTACCTACGTAGGTATGGATGGATGGATGGATGGATGGATGGATGGATGGATGGATCGATGGATGGATGGATGGATGGATGGATGGATGGATGGATGGATGGTTTTATGGATGGTTGGATGGATGGAGGGATGGATGGATGGATGGATGGTTGCATGGATGCATGGATCCATGGGTGGAGATATACATGCGTATGTACTTACTTTTATCGTCTTTATATATGGGGTTTACAGCACTTCAGAGTTTGAAGAAGTTGTCGTCTGCGTCGTCGTCGTTCTCGTTGCGACTCTTGCTGTCCGCAGGTGTCAGACGAAAAACGCCGGACCCTTCGAACAGAGCTGGAAGAGGCAGGACTCCCACGAATAGCTAGGATCTGGCATGCTGAGTACGTAACATGGTCCGCTGTTGACCATAATGCCTTAAACTCCGTACTACTTTTCCACACTATGATACAGTTGCTGTTGCAGTAACATCATGCAGCCGAGACCTTAAGGTAGGACGTCGGTACACGTGAGCAGCTTCCGGCTGCAAACCTGTGTGCCCTCACCCCGCAAGCACTAAGCCCTTACGCCCTAATGAAGAGGCCGTAATCATTAGAATAGGGTTTTGCGGGTTTATTGGTTCATTATTATATTATAGTAAAAGTATAATATACCCACAAACCCTATTGTAATTGTTAAGACCCCTGCATTAACCCTTCCGGGGCAGGCCTTCTCCAACGCCTAGAACATGGGAGCTTTCTGCAGCGCCGAAGTCAGGCCGTGCACCAAGGTGTGCTTTAAGTGAAGGGCAGAAAGCTATGTTATCAAAGGGGAAAAAGAGGGACCCTTAATGGGGACCCCTACCCTATAATGGGCTATATCGTGGGCATATTATGGCTATATTGAGGGTATATTCTGGCTATATTGAGTAGGGGTCCTTATTAAGGGTCCCTCCTTTTACCCTTGGATGTTAGTCACTGTCAGTCGCAAGGATGCCAACAAGCCCAGCAGTCTAGTAACTAATTACCCTAAGGCCCCAAAGTAGTTCCTTTTTGGGGGTTCGTAATTAGAATCCTATAAGGTAATCCCAAAAGGAACTAATAGTCGTCGTCGTGTTGAGTGTTTTGTCGTGGCTGGTGGCAGTGGTGCTACTGCTGAACGGTGTTGGGGTGTTGGTGTTACTCGGCGACAGCAGGCAGAGCATACATCGGCACTGGCATAAACAGCGTATACAGGTAAAGGTTGGCAAGATACCAGACATGTGGAACATGCTTGACAGAGAGCCGTCGTGATGGGTCGTAATGTCGTCGCAGTGGAACCTGACATATGCAGTATTTAGTTGCATTTTAGGAGCAGATAGACATGGACCACCATAGCTGACAGCAAGTGAAGGATACGCAATATCGTGTTGAAGCTCGAAGGTGGCGCGGCATCGGGTTTCATGTCGTAGAGACAAAGTCACCATGATTGCTCTGCCGGCTGTCTTGATGGCACTGGGCCCTATACCGAATCGAGCCCTGAAGAGTTAGTGTCGCCCTGTAAAACCGTGCTTGGACAAGACAGTTGAGGGTGTATTCCCAACCCCACACTCTACACCCTAAATCCTAAACCCTAAATCATCAACCGTAAACCAGAATAATATATCTTAAACCCTAAACCTTAAATCCCAAATTTCCAAATCCTAAGCCCGAAATCCTACACCCTAAATTCTTAAATCTAATGCCGCAATCATGTGGGTGGTTGTCAAAATTAGGGTCCCTTTTTGGGTCCTTATTATAATACGGCACCGAATATTTAGGGTACCCCAAATTTTGACAACCACCCTAAACCCCTAAACCCTACTACAGACCCCTTTAAGGAACCCCTTATATAGATCCCTTTAAAGGAGCCCTTATAAGGGACCCCTACTTTTGACAACCCATGTGTGTCGGCCATTCAGGCTCAGGGGCTGTAGAGCTTCGGCCCAGAGCGACTTCATCTGGTAGCGAACTTTTGCCGTCCTTCTTAGGGGCTTTAGTGGGGGTGTTATGGGGTATTTTATAGGGTCTTGTTTAAATAGGGTTTAGGGTTGAGGCTTGCAAGGGTTTTCAAGAAATTTCCAGAAGGGTGTTGCAAGGCTTCTGCACGGATTTAGGGAGTTAGGACGTTCACGGACCAAAACTGCATCGATTGAGATGCAAGTCTTCTTGCTGCCATCCGTAGTCCCAGTGGGTGAACTTCGAACTCTTACAGTCTAAACCTTCAACCCCAAAACCCTCATAGAACCTTTCGAACACCCTAGGGCCACCACTTCAAAGACCCTATAGACCCTTCCTCCCTGTGATCCGCGTACATTTCATGGCCGATCCCGTGCGCTGGAGACCCTGCCGGCGCTGAGAAGCCATGGGCGATGGCAAGGTGGAGATTATGATTGAGGGGTCGTAAACTTTAAACTCTAAACCTCTAAACCCCTAAATCCCAAAATCCTGAAACACTAGACCTCGAACTCTAAACCCCCTAAATCCTGCATCTTGTGGAGTCTAGGGTTAAGTCATCTTAAGTCTTTGGGGTTCCGAAGGCATGAAACTCTTTGGGAATTCGAGCTTCGGGTTGCTTTGCTTGGATCTCGTACTTGAAAGCTCATGGGGCTTAGTAAATTTAAAGGGATCCTTAAAGGGATCTATAGGGTTCCTTAAAAGGGATCTATAGGGTTTAGGGTTTAGGGTCTACTTGAAAGCTCATGGGACTTAGTAACTAGGGTTCCTTAAAGGGATCCTTAAAGGGATCTATAGGGTTCCTTAAAAGGGACCTATAGGGTTCAGGGTTTAGGGTCTACTTGAAAGCTCCTGGGACTTAGTAAGTAAGGTTATAAGTAGGTTATAATTAGGATAACCCCACTTAGGGGACTTATAACCACAATTATAACCTACTTACTAAGTCCCATGATCCTCTAAGTATGGTAGGTGAGATGCACGGCTCTGCTACTTCTGTGTACAAACGTTCATATATACGCCGGAACAAGTAGTAATACCATTCCTTGATGTTTCTGGGTAGAGTTCTACTAGATCGAACAATAGCACCTCAGCACCTCAATGTTTCTGATAAGAGATATACTACTGTTGATGATATAAATCCTGCATTACCCATTAATAATCAGGAACATACCATAATTCCCATAGTTTAGGGTCTTTAAGGTCATGCAGGATTTATACCATGAGCCGTAGAACTGCATTCGTCGAGATCGGTGTTTCAGATTTCGGTGCGAGGCGACCACGGCTGCTCTCGTTGCTTCCCTCGGGGCTTTTCTCTTCGGCCTGGACATCGGCTGCTTGGCGCGGACTGCATCCTTAGTCTGAAAACCTTCGAAGAGCAGATGCTGCCACACTGTACATTTAGTATGCTACTCTATAGTTTGCCAAGTACTGCATTTCATATTGTATGGGCTGCTACACCATATTTTATCAGTGCATATCACGTTGTCTAGTTTTGCTACACTATAATGTTATATCAAGGTAGTAATGTCTCACGCGACGCTGCTTCCAGACCCCGACGACTGCGCACCCTCCAGATGGACTTGAATCAGGGGACTTGGTAAGTAAGGATATAAGTCCCCTAATTGGGGTTATAAGTAACTATAAGTATAGCTACCTTATTTATAACCCTAGGGTTCTGGAGTACCATACTTCAACGTTATGTTTGGTGCCTGTTCCTTACAGGAACCATTATGAGATGCTATGGTTACGTCAAAGCCCAGTGAATCACGGGGGCATTGGGAAAGAATGTGAGCCGAGGCTACATCGTGCGCTGCTCAGTTGTTGCTTCGAGCTTGTACAGGAGTTTTGAGTGCAAGCGATGGAAGATGTGTGCGAAATTCTCCGTGATAAACTTCTTAGCCGTTTTAACCCTAAAGCTTCAATCTCCGATCCCCAAGTATTGTCCCTCATAGTGCCTTATGGTAACCCTGTCGTTCTGGCAGTCCTTCTAACTCCTGAATCCAGACCTCTAAACCCAAAGTTACTAAGACCCCACCCTTAAGCCTGACCCTAAATCGACCCTAAAGCCCCGCCCCCCCGCCGCCCCCCACCTCTCCACTTTCGCCTACTTGAAGGCTCATGGGACTTAGTAAGTAAGGTTACAAGTAGGTTATAAATAGGATAACCCCACTTAGGGGACTTATAACCCCAATTATAACCTACTTACTAAGTCCCATGATCGTTTAAGTAACCCTAAACCCTAAACCCTAAGGCCCCCATTCTGGAATGCCCCAGCTTCAAGAGGGCCTGAGCCTCGGGTGTGATGACACGCAGCTACGGTTCCTGGGAGCAGTGGTTGCTGCGGTCTAGGGTCTGCTTGGAGGATCAGGGGACTTGGTAAGTAAGGTTAGAACCTTAATTGGGTTCACACGAAATTATCAGGATAGTTACCCTACTTAAAGAGCCCTAATTACCGAGTCGCATGATCCTTTTCAGTATGTATAAAAGTAAGATGTTCTGATTGCGGTTGCCATAGGACTAAATCTGTGCCTTCGAAGGATCACGATGCTGTGATGTCGGTGCGTAGGTTTCAACAGCGTTTTGATAGCACGATACAGCAATGTCATGGCGCACACGACAATGCTAGCTATCCTCTTCTTCCTAATTCGATTTGATTTCCCGGTCATTCAGGATCACGGGACTGATTGGGTTTCGGGTTTTAGGGTTTAGGGTGGCTTAAGGCCTAAGGTCTAGGGCTTCAGGGTTCACAGTTTAGGGTTTTTGAAGCATCATTTTGCTTGGAGGATCAGGTGCTCAGCAGGCAAGTCTATAAGTGCGTCAACTGTGGTTGTGCATACGTCATTATAGGTGTAGAAAGCTTCTGGAGAACCCCTCAGCCCTGAAACCCTAAACCCCCGAATCATAAATGCCTGAAGCCTAGAACCCAAAAAGAACCCTTATAAGATCCCTTCTAGGAACTGTTAAGGGATACCTTAAAGGAACCTTTTCTAAAACCGAGAAAGAGCAGCAAACGCTAGAGACTCTAAACCCTTCAGCTCCAGAAACCAGAAAGCTAAGCCCTATAGAACCCTCATAAGATCTTTGAAAGAACTCTTGTAGATCCCTTAAAGAGCCCTTATAGATTCCTGAAAGGAACCCTTATAGATCCCTTAAACGGACCCTTGCAGATCCAAAGGAGCCCCTACTTGGAGGATCAGGGGACTCAGTAAGTCAGGTTATAAGTGCCCTACTTGGGGTTAGAAGTAATTCTAAGTACAGTTACCTTATTTATAACCCTTGTTACCAAATCCCATGATCCTTTAAGTTCGGATTAAGGGGCGGGGGGCTTAGGCTCTCAGGGTTTATAACCCTAGTGTATGGATCCCTCAAAAGGAACCTTTTATACAAAGTGAATGCGCTGCTTCTGAGCCCCAAAACCGTACTCAACTTTGAGGCCCCAGACTCTAAGCCCAAAACCGTCTGTTAAACCCCAAATTCCGATAAAAGAAGGACCTAACAAAGCTTTAAAAACACTCAGAAACTCTCGAATAAACGATAAGACGATATTAAATCATTTATAAAACCATGTAAAACCATACAGTCCGCTGCAGGATGTTGGGCATTTGTCGGACTGGTCCGACTCCAACTCGAAGATCCTCGGTTCTTGCGATTGAGCTTATAGGGTTATAGGGTTTAGAACCCTAAACCCTAAACCGTTTCGGACCGCTTAGGAGCTTATGGTTTGGGATGTAGAGTTTAGGAATCTCGAGTGCAGGGGCTCGGGGGGGCTACCCAGAGAGCCCAAAATGTCCCTGAATTAAGGAATATGGCCTAAGTTATATGGGTAGTTGTCGAAATTAGGGTCCCTTTTTGGGTATATTAAATTGCTACCCCCCCCCTCAAAGATCTATGTTTTTTGCTCTTTACTGTGCTTTTACGGCTTAAACAGTAAACCGAGGTTGACCTGAAACAACAAGCCCTTGAACCTAGCACCCTGACTTGACACACCCAAAGAACCTTGTAAACCTCCACGCGACAAATAGACGCCTGAAACGTTCGCCAGAAAGCCTCCCCGAAACAAAATAAGCAACAGTTAGCCCGAAAGCCCCGTGAAACCTATTCTAAAACTGTCAGCCTGTCAGCCCGAAAGCTTCTAAAACAGTTTGCCCGAACGCCTCCTTGAAACCTAATCTGAAACAGGTAGCCCCAAAGCCATCTTGAAACCTACACCGCCAAATCACTAGCCTTTAACAGCATCCGTGGGGGCTGTCTGTGCAGCAACTTGGGCTGCGCGGTTTATGATTGAAGCAAACGATGCTCATGATGCTTTATAGGGGGAACAGCCAACTTACAACCTGACGTCCTGCAGCGGAATCCTTGCATTACATTCACACAGACCACAATGTGATGTTTATGAAAAGTTGAAAGAAAACAACTGAAGCGTTAGATAAAAAGGGTGTTTAATTTAGTTAAACTGTACACACCACATGAACGGAAAAATCCATTGACAAGTTACTGCATTAAAGGACAGGGAAAAAGGAGTAACATGACCGTTTGCAATTAGTTAAAGGTAAGGGATACACGCTTTTATTCTGCTAAAGTTTGTCTTGTTTTGCTTGTTTCCGTTACCTTTAATTCCTAGTTGTCTACCTTTCCGAATGCAAGGTTTATAAGCCAAAGAAACTGAAAAGGTAAGAAACAAAAGGAACCAACAGACAAATGAAGTGAATGAAATGAGAGACTTGCAGGCTTCTGTGTTCTCTGTTTTTGTTCTTTTCCCTTCGAACTCGTTCCTGTACGCTTTCATTCAATTGGATTCATTCCGCTCACTTTGTTCGCTCCATTCATTACACTACATTCAGCGACGTGAAGGACGAACGAAGCCCCAAAAACACAATTTAATGCAGTGAAAGGAACAAAACAGCAAAGACATGTGCGTCGTTTTATGCTTCATTTCACTACGTTTAGTTGCGTCGTGTGGCTTAAATACTTTTTCGTTCGCTTTTTTAGGTGTCTTCAGGTGCTTTATTAAATTCCAATACGGAATACCCAATAACACAAACGGAAGAAGAACAAACCAAGACATAAAGTGAGTAGTTTGAATGCATTTTACTTAGTAGAAGGAACAGAAGCGAAGTGAAATGAATGCCTGCTTTGATGGAGAACTGAATGTTGATTCCATTCCCTTTTGTCTGTCGTTCTTTTATTACGCAGAAACCGAAGCAAGAAGAACGACAACAACAAGAGCACACAGGCAAAGGATACAACATCAGAAGGCAGCGGCGGGTGGGTGTAAGGCGCATGCTTAGGTTGTTGCTTCGTTTGGCTCAATCCAAGTACGCATGCTTTATCTTTACTTGCATAAACGTGCCAAAGAACAACGACCCACCGCACATTACATTCACTTCATTCTTAATCTCACGGTCACCTCTCCTGTCTTCATGTCACACACTAGAATGAGAAGGTAATAGTGTGAAGCGAACCAAGAGACGCCGTGAATTAATTTCAATGGAACGCTGTGGAAGCGTGAATTAAGTGAAACAAAGCTTCCGTTCGTTCTTCGTTCTGTGCTGCGTGTTTAAAATCAACAACAAGGCTCGCTTTGTCATTGTCGTTGTTGCAGTCAACTACATACAAGAACCAGAACTAACTTCACAGACCTCTGCCACTCGTTTCTCAGCGGCTAGCGTGGCAAAAAATTCAACTCAATGAAAAGAAACGTAAACAAAGTGCACGGTATCTTCTTCCATAGATTTGGCCTTTTGTGCACGATTTTCCGGTTTCAATTTGATTACTTTGAAGCAAAAAGGCATATGCACATGTAGACTGCCGCAGACGTGCACATGCAGACTGTCACAAGAGCCGTGGAGATAACAAAACCAAGAAAGGCAGAGGACCACATTGAAGTATTGAAACACGTTGAATTTCAAGATTGCGCGGGTCTGCTGGGAGAAATCTTAGATTCAGGGACGGCCATATTGAAATATTGAGGCCATATTGAATTTCAATATGGCGGATCCAAGATCCAAGAACCAAGATTGCACGGGACTCCTGGGAGGAATCTTGGATTCAGGGACGGCCATATTGAAATATTGAAGCCATATTGAATTTCAATATAGCGGATCCAAGATCCGATCCAAGATTCCTCCCCAAGAGCCCTGGGGAATCTTGGATCTTGGATCTTGGATCCGCCATATTGAAACTCAATGTGGCAGGGGGCCATATTGAAATATTGGGCCACATTGGGTTTCAATATGGTCGGTCTTTGCGGTCATGAGGAGTTGATCTGAGATACGCGAGTGGAGGGAAGGGGGGTGCGAGCAATCATGAGGAGTCGATCGTGAGTGGAAGGACGGTCATGAGGAGATGGTAATGAGTGGAAAGAACTGAAAACAGCTTAAATACATAGATCTTTGGGGGGGGGGGGTACCATTAAATTCTAGGTGCCGTTTTATCATAAGGACCCAGAAAGGGACCCTCATTTTGACAACCACCCATATAGGGCTTCATATTCTGATCTAAACAAGATTTCTTGATGACGGGGTATTGGGCTCTCGAGTTCTTGCTGATGAGCTTGTAGTGTTTCGGACCTTTTAGGGTTCGGGGAGTTCATGGTATTTTGGGGTTGGGGGTAGGAGTTCAGGATTTTGGATTTTTCGGGCATAGGTTGCGGGATTAGGGTTCAGTTGTTTTGGGGGTTAGGGGGGTTCGGAGTTTTTGTAGGTTTGGGTTGAGAGTTTAGGGTTTAGTTGTTTTGTTTGGAGGAGGGGTAGGGGCTTAGAGAACAAGAACCCAGGATCACTTCGGTGGAGGCCGGCTTCATCGTTGCGGTCCCAAGCTCAGAGGGCTCCGAGTTCAGGGTTTCGGGTGAGGGTTCACACCCCAACCCCTGCACCATACACCCTAAACCCTCTAAACCCTAAGCTCCCAAACCCTAAACCCTCTAAACCCTATACCCCGTACCCGATACCCTCAACCCTGAACCCCAAACCCGAAACCCTCTGAAGCTCCCAAAGCTTTCTTGCAGCAGCCGAGATCTTCTCTTTGGGATGCTTCCCTCTAAACCCTAAGTACTGAACCCTAAACTGCCAAACCCTAAACCCTATAGATCCCTTTAAGGCCCTCAACCCTAAACGCTCTAAACCCCAAACCCTATAGATCCCTTTAAGGACCCAAACCCTAAACCCTCTAAACCCTAAATCCGAGATCTTCTCCGTCGGATGCTTGACGACTTCCTTCCCGCCGATCAGCAGCTCCGGGACGGCAACAAGTTGACGGTTTACTTACCTTGGGTTAGTAGGGAATGGAAGATGGTAGTAATCGTAGTTATAATTGTACCCCATACTAACCAAAGGTAAGCAAGTTGACGGTTCAGGAGCGCTGGGGCTACAGAGAGAGGGTTTCATGAGTTTCATGAGGGTTCTCCGATGGTTCAAGGAGGGTGACTCAACGGGGTGTCATTGGATATTCTGTAAGATGTTGGGTGGTTCGGAATTCTACTGCCGGGGTTACAGGGGTGTGACAGCGCTTGCGAGTTTAAGGGTTGAAGCGTTGTTTGACATGTTAATGTAGGAACCTGATTAAGAAACCTGGGGCCTTTATTGGGGTTCCTTATATGAACCCTACTATTTTGGGGTTATAGGCCCAGGGTTTCTTAATCAGGTTACTACATTACTGGTCTGCCTTTTGTGACCGTTCTTGCTGCATGTCTTAGGGTCCGAGGCTCGTTGGGCACTGCCCCCACGCAGTATCAGTTGGATAATATGGGTAGTTGTCAAAATTAGGATCCCTCTTTGGGTACCCTCAATATAAGGTGCCGTATCATAATATGAACCCAAAAAGGGACCTTAATTTTGACAACCACCCATATTCATAATATGAATACAGTATTACTAGGACCTTAATAGTATCCCTATTATGGACTGTTACTGTATGGGGGGCAGTCCTAAACCCTAAACCCCCCGAAACCCTAAACCAAAGGGGAAAAGGAGGGACCCTTAATGGGGACCCCTACCCTATAATGGCTACATTAAGGGTATATACCTAGGGGTCCTTATCAAGTGTCCCTCCTTTTACCCTTGAATAAACACTAAACCCTGTCCGAGGTTTCTTCCTGGACCAGTTTGGCCGGAGGAGCTCCATCATGCTGGGAGGGGTCCCGACCTTGGCGACAGCAACCCAGGGAGCCCAATACCCCCTTAATTAAGGAACATACCTTAATTTACAAGGGGATTCATATTATGATTTAAGCCATATTCCTTAAGTAAAGGGGATTCGTATTATGATTTAAGCCATATTCCTTAATTAAAGGGTATTGGGCTCTCTGGAAAGCGCAGAACGGGGAAGGGAACGGAGAAGGGCAGCCCAAGACTGCTCTACACCTGTTGCCCCTAAATTCTGGTCCCTAAACCCCAAACCCTAAACCCTAAACCCCCATACCCAAGACCCTAAGCCCCAGACCCCATCGAATCTTCAAGCCAAAGCCCTGAAGTCTTTTGAATCTTCATGCCCAGATCATCTTCTTGCTGGGCTGCCTGCTGCAGTCCTCTAGCGGATCTATGGGAGTCGCCTGCTGCATCAGGAGAGTAAAGCCCTTAAATAAGGAATATGTTTTGAGACAGTTTTTAAAAGGGGTCCTTACATTTCAAGATGTATCTTAGGGGCTGAGGAGGTAACCTTTGACCTTTTGGGGTTCATATAATCCTACCATAATTGAAAAGGTTACTTGAAGGCTCATGGGACTTAGTAAGTAAGGTTATAAGTAGGTTATAATTAGGATAACTCCACTTAGGGGACTTATAACCCCAATTATAACCTACTTACTAAGTCCCATGATCCTCTAAGTAACCTTTTTTGGTCCAGGGTGTGCAGCCCCTCAGTCACTGTTCCGAAAGGCCTCCGACAACCCGAAGCTCTGAACCCTTACGCGCCTTAACCCTTAAGAGATCCTTTAAGGGTTCCCTTAAGGGATCCTTTAAGGGTTCCTATGAGGGTTTAGGGTTTGAGGGTTAGGGTTTAGGGGCCTTAAAGGAGTTTCAAAAAGGCGGCAGCCCTAAGTTGATTCTTATATCCTATAGCACTAAGAGCTCAATAAACCCTCCTGCCTTCTCCATGTCCTTGTTCGAACCCTTGCAGATCCCCAAGCATGGAGCCCTAATCCCTTAACCTCCTGTAACCCCACACTCTACAACCCGAAACCCATCTAAACCCCAAGCCTGAATGTAACCCTCACAGATGCCTTAAGAGGAAGCCTTGTGAGAGGATCTCTTTAAGGAGCCTGTAGCGAAGCCCTAAACCGAAGAGCCCCAGCTTGCTGAGACCTTCCTCTTCGGGCGATTGGTGACGGGGACTTCTATCGGCCTCTTGAGCAACGTGGTTCCCATGTACCAGGCAAGTGGGGTTTAGGGTTTGTAGGGGTGCTTAGGGTGTATAGGGATTATTATAGGCTTTATAGGGCTTAGGGTGTATAGGTATTGTAGGGTTTAAGGCTTATACTTAGGGTTTAGGGGTAATGTGGTGCCCATGTACCCGGCAGGTCGGTATTTTTCGGGATCGGAATCTGGGTGACTGAGTCCGAGTACACTTTGCACTTCTTTGGGATAGTATTTTCCCGTGCAGAACTGAAAGCGTAGATCTCGGGGGGTTTATGAACTCAGCAACTAAGCCAGAATGATCTACCAATGCGACTCCCTGACGCTATAATCCTCTTATTGCTGTGGTACCCTAAGGCCCCAAAGTAGTTCCTCTTTGGGGTTCGTATATAGAATCCTATAAGGTAATCCCAAAAAGGAACTACTTTGGGGCCTAACCTCAAAACCTGAATCTGACTTTGTTTGTGGGTTTGGGTTTGGCTTTGTGGGCTTATGACTCGCCAGTGTTTTGGGTCGTTGGTTCAACTGTTTTGCTGGGGTTCAGAAGTTTGACGGGGTGTCACCGCAAAGACGACATCCAGCAGGACAGCTGCAAACAGAGCAAACAAAAAAAAACAACCACAACCCTAAACCCTAAATCCCAAACCCTCACTCAGCAACAGCAGCAACAAGCTCCCGAGCCTTAAACCCTAGTTTGCTTCCTTACAGACAAGTTCCAGGTTCTGCATGCCTTCCCCGGCTCCTACAACTGCCAGTGCATGTAGTACCAGTAACATATTTCAATCAGTAGGGTTTTTCCTATCGCCGATGTGTCAATCCAACCGTAACAACGAAACAACCAAAATGTGGTATCAATAGCGGATGCTGCTGGTGCTGGTGCTGGTGCTGGTGGGGGGGTGGGGGGGGGGGGGGGGGGGGGGGGGGGGGGGGGGGGGGGGGGGGGGGGGGGGGGGGGGGGGGGGGGGGGGGTTTGGGGGGGTTCTGGGGGTTCTGGTGGTTGGCAGTGGCGGTGATGGTGCTGGCGGTGCGTAGGCAGTGCTGACGGCGGTGGATGCCGTCGTGCAACTTGGGCAACCGCGACAGCAACAATAGCATTAAGAAGTAATCAGCGCATCACAACGTGTTTTCAATTCCGTTGTCACTATCTTCTTCTGCATCATGGCTGTTGTCGTCTCTGCCATAGGATCAGCATTCCGTCGGTCCTTAGCGTGAAAGCACCTAAACGGAACAACACAAACTGCTGAAGCCTACCGCCAAGAAGAGTATCAGCTTCATTAGTTTTTTATCCTAAGCTCTAAACCCTGAGCGCATCTAAGCGCTGTAAACCCCAAAACACCCAAGTCCCAGTTTCGTCCTTCAGTGATCCAGAGGGCCCAAAGTACTGAAGTACTCGGGTTTCTAGGCCCCCAGATCCATACTTTGAACGGTTTGTGGACCTTGAAACCCTACACCTAAACCCTAAACCCTAAACCCTAAACCCCTAAACCCTAAACCCTAAACCCTAAACCCTAACCCCTAAACCCCTAAACCCCTAAACCCCTAAACCCCTAAACCCTAAACCCTAAACATTCAATGTTTGGGTACTGGGACCCCTGTGGCTTAACAACAGCCTTAACCTTCAAGCACCCATGTCCCAGGTTCGGCCTTCAGTTCCTTTAAGGGGGTTCCTTTAAGGGTTCCTTTCAGGGTTCCTTTAAGGGTTCCTTTAAGGGATCTACAGGGTATAGGGTTTAGGGTACCCAGAAACCCCAAAACTCATTGATTTCAGGCTTTAAAACCATATTAGGAGTTCTATTTTAGATTAAGATACGTCCTTAGTTCCCTTATAGAACCCTGAACCTTTATAGATCCCCTTAAGGAACCCTTAGGGGTACATTCCTTAATTGAGGTCATTTTGCAGTCTCTGGGTATTTTAAAACTCTATAAAGTCTATAAACTTTTTAAGGATCCCTTAGATTAGCAGGGTTTTGGAGTCTCTGGGTACCCTAAGCCTTGTGACAAGCCTAAACCCTATACCCTGTAAATCCCTTAAAGGAACCCTTAAAGGAACCCTGAAAGGAACCCTTAAAGGAGCCCCCTTAAAGGAACCCTTCAAGGAACCCTAGGTACACAGCCTCCGCTCTGGGACAGGCAGAGATGGCGCCGCCCGCGCTGCGCGGCACCCTCACGTCGATGTACAACATGATGATTACCGCAGGCAGGCCCAAAGGTCTGGGGATTAAGGGTTTAAGAGTTTAGGGGTTTAGGGTAAAGGGTTTAGGGTATTTTGGGGGTTTAAGAGTTTAGTGGTTTAGGGTTTGAGAGTTTAAGGGTTTAGAGTCGTTTTGGGTTTTCGGGTTAAGGGTTTATGGGCTTGAAGCAGGCTTTGGGGCGTAAGGTGCAGCAGGTACACCCGCTCAATGTAGAGGTGGGGTCACTTGTCAAGTACTGGTCGTACATCCTTGTTGTATATACTACATATTCACATTGATGCCCCCTAAACCTTGGTTTAATATTCAGGCCCCTGTATCAGCGATTTGTTGAGATTTGTGAGGAGTGCCTCATCGTTTCTCTTTTCTTCCCATCTGCGGTGTGGCGGCCAAGACCAAAAATCCTAAACGCCAAAACCCTAGGCCCTAAACCCTAAACGCTGAACCCTAGACACTCGAGTGAGGCAGGCGAAAAGACACGTCAGCACACGTTAAAAAACACCGAGGGGCAGGGGACTTAGTAAGCAGGTTATAAGTCGGGTTGTAATTGGGCTAACTCCATATAGGGTACTTATCACTCTACTTATAAGCGACTTACTAAGTCCCCTGCCCCTCCAAGCACTAAACCATCTGAGGCATCTTTCTCGCAGCCCTGCTCGATGAGTTTCTCGTGGAGATGGACAACGGCTGGCGGATGGCTATCGCCTTGCAGGTCTGGAAAGCTCCTGGGGTTTAGGGCTTTAGGGCTTAGGGTTTAGAGTTTAGGGCTTAGGGTTTAGGGTTTAGGGCTTTAGGGCTTCAGGGCTTTAGGGGCTTTGGGGCTTAGGGTTTGGGGTGTAGGGGTTTAGGGTTTGGGGGTTTAGGGCTTAGGGTATAGGGATTAGGGCTTTGGGGGGCTTCGGGTTTAGGCTTTTGAGACAGCCCGAGCATGATACGATGCTTGTTTTGTGGAGTTTCCGGTGTGGTTCACTTCTCCGTCCGTTCCGAGTTCAGTTCACCACCGCTATAGCGAGTGCTTCTGGTCGCGGTGCTCGGCCTGAACCATGTTTGCTTGAACTGTACGAACATGTGGGGATTTCCGAAATGAGGGGTACCGTATTTTGGGGCCCTCATGGTTAACTATAAGGATCCTATTATGTAGGAGACTATATTTGGATCACTTTCAGGTTGGGTTGTGAGTCTGTCGACGGCTTCTTGCATCTTGCGTCGGGTGTATTTTTGTCGGGAATGCGCCCAGGGTGCCAAGAACTCGCCTTCGACTTCAACCTCCGCCCTTCAAGACAAGTCCCTACACGGTCAGCACAGTGTGTTGAGTAGCTAGGAAGCCCTGCCCGGAAAAAAGCAGCTGTGTTTGCAGGCCATCCCGGCTTTCGTCATCTTGCTCCTTAGCAGCAGAGTGTGTAAGCTTTCAACGTGTCATGGGTTTAGGGTTTTTTGATTTTTGCTTTTGAGGTGATTTTGCTCTTGTGGGCTTGTGCTAATAGAGGGTCTATAGCCCTGCCTTTTTTGGGCACCCAAGCTGCGGCGACGAAGGCTCACCATGCCTTTCCTGCCGCGCTCCCCGAGGTGGCTGGTACAACAGGCGCTGCACGTAGAACGGCAAACACAAGAACAAGGAGCTTTTCTTAGGTATACACATTCACGTACTCTACGAACATGTGGGGGTTTCCGAAAATTAGGGGTACTTTGTTTTGCAGTCCTTTTAACAACGACCTTGCTGTTTAGGGTACTATATATTAGGGTTCCCTATTTTCGGAAACTCCCATGCACTAGAATGCATTACACCTTCTGCAACTGTACTGTCTCCTGCCTCACCTCTTCACCTAGCCAGCTACCGACCTACCTCCCTCCGTCCCTCGTTAAACCTACCGACCTACTGACCAACCTATCCACAACCTGCCCACCTGCCACCCACCCACCCCCCTGCGCGCTTACCTACCGACATACCCACATATCGACCTACTGTACCGACCTAAGCCCATACACCTTCTGAAGCGCTACAAATTCTGAAAAACCTATAGAGCCATTATTCACCCAAACAATACCTTGCAAAACCCTGCAACACTCCCCTAACCCTGATCCCAAAACCCATTAAAAAACCCATTAAAACACAAAAAGGCAGCCTTAAAACCTGAAAACCCCCAATCCCCGAGTCCCCGAAACCTACCCTACGCCCAAAAAGCCCCCAAACCCTCAGTCCCATGAACCCTATCCTAAGCCCTAAAAGCCACCCAGACCCTCAGTCCCAAACCCCAGTTTAGGGTTTAGCGGCTTAGGGTTTAGGGCTTTAGGGTTTAGTTGAGAGTCTAGGATTTAGGGTTTAGGGGTTTAGGGTTTAGGGTCTAGGATGTACCTGGACCCTAAGGAACCTACCTTTTATAGGGCTCCTTAATATGATTTCTTTATATAAGTCCTTAAAAAGGTAGGTTACGTGGGGTTAAGGTAGGGTTTAGGGTTTAGGCCCAGCTTGCCGCAGGGACGCCTGGAGGAGGCCTCCGAGGCTTTGACCTTGCTGCGTGGATCGGAGATGGCCGAGAAGGAGAGCTCAACTTAAGGGTCCAAACCTTCACCTACCAAACCCTACCTTTTTGTAGGTTCTTATTATAAACCCTAATATGGAATTTATAGGGACCCTACTTTTTTGTAGGTTTTGGTAGGTTAAGGAAGTACCTGTATAGTAGAATGTAGGGTTTCTATATTAACTAGGGATTCCAATTATGATCTGGGGAAGTATCCCCCATAACAATACCTACTGTTGATGATAAGAATCCTGCATCACCTTAAGGACCCTAAACTATGGGAATTATGGTATATTCCTTATTAGACGGCCGAGAAGGAGGAGTCAACTTGAACTATAACGGGATCCCTAATAGTTTAAGGATACGTAAAGTATAGACCTTAAACTATGACTTAGGGATATCTAAGGCATATTCCCCAATGAAGGGAGAAGGAGAGGCACAAAGGGTTTAGAGTTTACAAGGGGGGGGCAAAGTGTTTTTGGTTGGTCTAGAGTGTTGTTTTTGGAGGGCTTCAGGGTTTGAGTGTTTTTCGGTTTGTGGGGTCTTAAGTATCCTTGGGCGTTAGGCCTTAGGGCTTGAGGTTTCATGGGTTTCAGGGTCTCGGGTTGCCGGGATTCCAGAAGCAGATTGCTGCGGGCTCCGGCGGTTAAGCCCTAAACCCCACCTTAACCTACCAAAACCTACAAAAAAGTAGGGTCCCTATAATATTAGGGTTTATAATAAGAACCTACAAAAAGGTAGGGTTTCGTAGGTTAAGGTATACTACTCCTGGTAGGAGTTCTTTCTGCACCTGCAGTTGGAAAAGGGCCCATAAACAAAAACTACAACAACAAACAACATATAAAGCCCTATGCCCTAAACCCGATTGGAGTTTCGGGATATGGGTGTTTCTAGAGCCTGGCTTTGCGAATTCACGTATGCTCCCGGGAGCTGGAGCAAGGAATCCGTGTGCCCTCACTCTAACAGTTCTGCTTAGGGTTTGGGGTTGGGAGTAAACCTTAAACCGTAGACCCAAAACCCAAATAAGTGTAGGGGCCTTGATAATTAGAATAGGGTTTGGGGGTAGAGGAGACTATAGCTATAAAAAGGAACACCGAAAGCCTCAAAACCTTGTTCCAATTGTTAAGGCGGAAAGACTGGATCCGGTCCACTTTGGTCCCTACTGGGAGCCGCCAAGAAGAGCTCCGTTGCCTCATTGACGCCAGGAGCTGTCCGAAATTGTGGATGAGTTCAAGGCTGCGACAGGTTTAGGGTAAAGGGTTTTGGGCTCACGGTTCAGGGTTATTGGGGTTCGTGGATGTTTCCCCTATTGTGTCTAAGAGGATCTTACTTACACCACGATTGTTTGGCTTATTTTGGAAGGCCCACCTGGGATTTCAGGGTTGGAAATTGAAGTGTGGTTGAAGACTGGTTCTATCTTACTCGAGGGCGGGCAGTTGTCTGCTAATTTAGGCCTTTCGGTGGTAGTTGGCTCTTATGCTTCATTGCTCGTGTTTGGCGTACTAGCGAGACCAATAGCGAGAGTAGAAACATAGCACTAGCATGTAGCAGCACTGGCAGAGTGCAAACTCATCCTGTTTTGTTTTCAGTAGTTACAGGGGCACTGGCGGTGGTCGTCGCCGTAGCAGTAGCAAGCTGTTTAATTCAAAGGGCTCCAAAGGTGGAGTGAAGACAGGTGGGATGATCCTCTATAAAGAGCCCCTGTAGAAGGGTTCCTTCATCTTACCTACCTTCATCCCACCTTTCAGGCACTCGATTAATGATATCATTGCCAGTTTTAGGGCTGCGGCTCTTCATCACCAACCCTAAACCCTAAACCCTTGCCAACCCTAAACCCTAGAACCGACCAGCGACAACCTATGCAGGCAGAGTGTGCCGTTGCAAGTGGCAGCTGGACTGAGGTCGACGGCCCTGCCCGGCGTCTATAGGGGCCTTTATAATTAGAGTAGGGTTCCTTTAAAGGGATCTGCATCCTTTAAAGGGGTTCAGGGTTAAGGGCCGGGCCATAGGGTTTAGGATTCTAGGGTTATTAGGGGGGTTATAGGGTTTAGAATTATAGGTTTTAGGGTCTAGAGTTCAGGACCCGAGAATCGCTACTGTAGCGTTATAGGGTTATAGGATAACGGGTTTAGCGGTTCAGGGTGTAGGATAACGGTTTTAGTGTCTACGTTTTGAATAAGAGTTGGTAATACTGAGAAGGTAGTCCCTATGTCATCTTATATACTGGACCCTTCTCCAGCACACTGTTCTTTCTTGTTCTCAGGGCACTGTATTGCGCAAGCGCTGATACAGATAGGCGGGAAGCTACTCTACCCTGAGGGTCCAAGTACTTAATGATCACGTACTCTTCCGAATGCTAACCGACAAACCTACTATCCTAAACCCGAACACCCAGTCAGTGGGTCAGGACTAAGTGGTTTGTGCGTGCCCTTTCTGCTTCATTAGGGTCTGAGTCTATGGTGTGCTGTTTACCTGGTTCTTGTTAGCTTATGTAAGCTACCGCAATAATGAAACCATAGTGCTTACTACCGATCCTCCTGATGTAATGTAGATTAACATCCCAAACAAGAACCTCGCCTGGGGTGCCAGTCTTCGCGTCGGCAACTTTGACCTTGCAGCCAAACAGAATACAATGAGAAAACACTAGTACGCCCACAACCCTCAAAGCAGAGCTCATACCGTCCCAGAGAGCCCAATACCCCTTAATTCAGGAATGTATTCATATAATGATTTAAGCCATATTCCTTAATTAAGGGGTATTGGGCTCTCTGGGGTTAGGAAGCATGGCATTGGGATCCTAACCCTGAGACGTTTCACGAAGGAGAGTGTATGAACCAGCCTAAGCTAAGCCCCCAAACCCTAAACCCGAACTTCTAAAAACACACCTAGACACTGAACCGCAAAGCCACAAAGCTACGAAGCCCGAGCTTCTAAAAAGCACCTAAGCACAAAACCACGAAAGCTTCGAACAGGTCTTCACTGGACGCATGCTGCTTCTGGTGGGCATTGGGGCATCGCTGCAGATGCTGCAGCAGCTCGTGGGGATGCGACTCGCATGGTCTATGCTGTGGAGGTCAGAGGAATTGGGAATAACATCCTGGAATCTTCGTACCTTTCCGACATATTTCGACTACGACATACCCCAAACCCTGGTCTACTTATTGAGGCGCCTGTATCATTTAGGTTTGCTTACCCCCACGGGGGGCCGGCTGTTGGGGCCGGCCGACGTGTGTTATCTCAGGAACTTTTTCATGTATTTCGGCCCGCGGCTGTTCAAGCACATGAACTTGGACGCCAACCTATTTCAGACGAGACTTGGGCTTGGACGCAGTTTGTGTGCTGAGTTATTGTTTTTCTTACGGTGGTCGCGCAAAGGAGCTATCGCAAGGGTGCGTGTACCCCGCAGTGTTCCCATGTTGGAACCAAGCACGGAGCATGTCGAGGCCCATTTGCACTGGCTTTAAAAGCCCCTGGTGAGTAATTAGGAAAGGAGTGGCTCAACTAATGTAGGAACCTGCATTTAAGAGACTCTGGTCCTATAACGTCCCAAGGTTTCTTAATCAAATTCCGATACATTAGTTTCCTTTGTTTTTTGTTAAACCCCTGCGGATTCTCGCATGCAGCGGTGGGTCCTCCGCACTGCTTGCTGCATCTTGGTCTTGGACTTTGCCTTCTGCTGGCGCTGGTCTCGGACAGCCGCTGCCCTGTTAAGTAACTTCCGGCATTGGCTCCTGAAACCCTGAACCCTAACTAGGACCTAAACCCCGCATTTCAAGAAAATAACCCAAAACCCTATCGGCAGTTCCGGGATCTAAAGGAATCCCGGAGCTTCGCTGGAACCTAAGGATTGCCAACGGCACGAACATGATCTTCACACTCCCTGCTCTCTACTTCATTGAGAAGCTTCGCCGCAAAAAGCTGCGCTTTTTGTCGGCGTATGCCGTCTACCCTACACCCTACTAACAAGAAGCCGAAAACGTGTGAACCTCGTAATGCCAAACCCCGATTGCACAACCCCGAGCCGTGCTTTAATTCAACTTTTGTAATTAAATTAATCGCATTCCCTTGTAGTTCCTTATTTCGTTGACCGTATAACATACCAAAATCTATTTCAGTGACGAGGGCCCCTACAGTGAACCCCTATAACACCCTTCTAGTCTCCCGCAGGGAGCCCTTTAGCCCTTACATAGAGCCCCTTAAAGGAGCCCTTCAATGGAGCGCTATTCTAAATTTCGGTCGACTTCCTTCTTCTAGGTTCCTGGGTAGTACCCTTTTTCCCTTTTTTGTTTGGATTTCCCCTATTAATGCAGAGTAAATAGAAGGAGGGTACCCTTGTTATTCAGGGGCTACTCAGGAACCTGGCTTTTAAAACGTTCTTTTTATCGACAGGCTAGGGGGTCGATAGTCTCCAGGAAGACTGGGCGCCGGTCCCTCTTCATCACCGGAGCTATCGGAATGGCGACTGGGCTTAGGGTTGAGGGTTTCTCTATGCAGGAGGTTTAGGGTTTAGGCTTAGTTCGGGTTGTCGGGGTCCTCTAAAGGATCTTATCAAGGAGGTTTCTAAGGGGTTAAGGTTCAGGGTTAAGGGTTTACTGCCGTCAGAATGATAATCAAAACCCCTGAAGCCCTGCAGTGCAACTTTCATTCTTGAAACCCTGCTAAACTCAAGCCAGCAGCCTAGACCCGAATCCCTATACCAGAAAAGCCCTAAACCCCAACACATCTAAACACCGTAAACCCCAAATCTTAGACCCCCAAGCCCAAATTCCTAAACTCTACACTCTAACTCCCTAAACCCTACACCCTAAACCCTAAAGCTTAAACCTAAACCCCAAACCCTAGACCCTAAACCCTAAACCTAAACCCTAGACCCTAAGCCCTCGACCCTAGACCCCTAAACCCTAAACCCCAAACCCTTGACCCCAAACCCTATAAACCCTAAACCCTAGACCCTAAACCTAAACCCTAAACCCTAGACCCTAAACCTAAACCCTAGACCCTAAACCCTATAAACCCTAACCCTAAACCCTGAACCCTCGGCCCTAAACCCTCGGCCCTAAACCCTAAACCCTAGACCCCAAACCCTATAAACCCTATAAACCCTAAACCCTAATCCCTGAACCCTCGGCCCTAAACCCTAGACCCTAAACCCTAAACCCTAAACCCTGCAGCTTTGAGGCGGTCTCCAACTTCGTCCTGGGATTCCTCGGGATCTATGGCACGACAGGCGCGCTTTGCGTCGGAGGGGGCGGTTTAGGGTTTAGGAGGGTTTAGGGTGTAGGGTTTAGGAGGGTTTAGGGTGTAGGGTTTAGGAGGGTTTAGGGTTTAGGATTGAGCTAGGGGAACTATAGGGGTAGTGTAGGGTTTAGGGTTTAGGGTTGCGGGAGTTACAGTGTAGAACGAGTAGGAGGAGGGAGCTAAGGAAACTATAAGGGTACTGTAGGGTGTAGGGTTTTGGGTCGAGTTACAGTGTAGAACGAATATAGGCCCTTAACAATTTACCTATACTATTCCGGTGGTTCCTTTTTGCTTAGAATCAAAGTTTAACGGGCCCCAAATCCCTATTCTGATTCTAATTATCAAGGCCCCTACATTAATTATAAGTGTACTATAGGGTTCAGGGTTTAGGGTGCTGTACGCTGTACGGCTCAAGGGTTTAGGGCTTAGGTTCGTATACAGCTACTCTATGGCTACCATGGAATGAGATATGTTTGCCGAGCTTACCCGTCGTCCAAAGACGCGTACATCTGCAGAGGCAGTTGAGATATGGGAGTTTCCGAATTCAGGGGACCCTAATCTAGTAATTACCCTGAATAGTAGGATCCCTATTAAAAGGACCCCAAAACAAGGTACCCCTAATTCTCGGAAACTCCCCTATAAGGACCTTGACAATGGGATTAGATCAGGTACATTGCACATAGGGCCTGGGGCTCCTACCTGGCCTCATACTTAGTAAGCAATCCCCACGCCGTAATAAAGTGTAGAGCCCTTGTAGAGCCCTTTAGGGAGCCCTTTGAGTTACTAAGTCCCTATGATCCTTCAAGACCCCTAAACCCCTAAATGCTAAACCCTATGTAAGCCCTACAACTCCCAGGCTCTAATGTGCTATAGACCTTATAGTTACTAGGTCCCACGATCCTTCAGTCAACCCTCTTACGATCTACGGGGTTCTTGTTAAGGAGCTTAAATTAATTACCATGACAAGGAAACCATATCATGTAGTATAGATCCCTATTCTGATAGCTTGAAATTAAATTCCTTATCAGAGTCCCAGCCTAAGCAGGCCATGGGGAGGACAGCAAGCCGTCCTCCCCTCTGGTGGGCGTCGTTCTCGCAGCCATGGCCGCTTGCTGAGTTCCGCTACCCAAGGTCTTCCTTAAAGAAGCCGTACGGCTGGTGGACAAAATCCTGCATTACCCATTATAAGGAAGATACCATAATTCCCATAGTTTAGAGTCCTTAGGGTCATGCAGGATTTTGTCCATCAACAGTATGGCACCGTTAAAGAGTTCAGAATCCTCAAAGGAACCCTTAGAGAACCCCCACTGGTTCCTTAAGCCTTAAGGTTCCTCCAAACCTAGACCCCCCAACGACCCTCTATTATATCCCTTCCACGAGGGTTTAGGGTTTGGGGGGTTTCGGGGGTTTGGGGGGTTTGGGGGGTTGTGGGGGGTTTGGGGGGTTGTGGGGTTTAGTGTTTAGGGGTTTAGGGGTTTAGGGTTTAGGGTTGAGGGTCCAATATACCCACTATTACAGACCATAAGGGCTGCGTCAACGGGCCGTTTGGGGGGGGGAGGCTATAAGGGTTCCTTTAGAGGGATTTGGGGCCTCGGCGTTCTCCGTTCTTGCGGTGGCAAGATGAGGCTTCAGTGTTAAGGGCTCTCGAGGCTTTATGTGGCTTCATGGTTTAGGTGAGGGTTCAGGGCCTAAGTTTAGGCTTCAGGGTGTCTGCTAGCATCCTGCGCCAACCTCTGCTGAAGCCGACAGTTGCCGCGTAAGAAACAGCTTCGAACAGTGAGTTATAGTATGTAGTGGTAGTTCTATCTAGCATGCACGGATATTGCCAATAGTCTCCCGAACCTTATTCTGATGATGAATGCCCCCGATTTGAAGGTCCTGTGCTTCATTGCAAGCTTCGCAAGCACGTGGGGCCCGACAGTTTGGGTCTACTGCTCCTTGGCTGCAACTTGTCTCCAAGGGCCTGCCCAAAGAAGTTAACATAGAAGCCTAAAGGTAGTTCTCTAAATTACAGGTCCAGTTTAGGCTGCACCTTATATTGGGGGGCCGACAAAGGGACCCTATATCAGAGAACTACTTAAATGATTACCGATGATATTCCCCAGGGTCCTTTTTCATTACACTTTGAAGAAGCCCAAAGCCCAATTCTCAGTATTAAGGGGGGCAGCCCGGACTAAGGACCTTCCCCACCTCTCATGACTCCAAAAGAGGGGCATCAATGAAAATAATGTTATAATACCAATTCTATTCTGAGTGTCCTTGGTTGTAATAGTATAATATACTTTGCCGACATCTGAATCGGCTCTAATTGCGCAAAGCTCCCAAATGTGCTCTGAAGGGGTGAATTCAACACCAGGTGCAGAGATGTTCCCCTTACGTCATCGGGCTCGCTGTGTGGGAGTGACAACAATGACGAACTGGGCCACTTGGCTGCCGTAAATTGGGAGTTGGGCACGGAGCACTCAAGCCGATATCCGAACATATGTCTAGTAATCCCTAAACCCTAACCCTAAGCCCCATGCCCTGAAAAGACTCATATATGCCTAGTTGCCAATAGTACCCCGTTAGAGCCCCGAGGTTGGTACGGCATTAGTTTTAATCAACATGCGAGTCTAATTTTTGAGGCCCCTACATTAGTATAGGGGCCTTAATAATTACCTATACTATCTTGGGGGGGTCCTCATCTTTGTTAGAGAAAAAATGGGCCCCAAAACCACATTCTAATAATTAAGGCCCTTATACCCTATACTATAGTACCCTTATGGATCCCTTATAGTAACCCTTATAGGCCCCATTCTATTTCTTGAGGCCCCTACAGTGTCCCATGTCGGCTGGCCTAGGTGGGAAACTTCCTCATCGCCCAGTTTTCGCCAATCTTGCTGTGCCTCGGCGTCTGGATACTTCAAAAGAAGCTTGGGTTATAAACAAGGCAACTATACTTGTAGTTACTTATAACCCCAATTAGGGTACTTATATCCTTACTTACTAAGTCCCCTGATCCTCCAAGTAGTTCTCTAAACGGGTTTCTTTGTCGATCCCCAATATAGTACGGCACCCTTATGTACAAGGATCGTGAAAGGGGGTCCTAGTTTAGAGAACTATACCCATATGGTCGTAGCAAAACCCACCCCATAACATGTATGAAAACCCAATCCTAGACCCTGAACCTCAAATCCACCATTGGCAAACAAACAAATCTTGGAAGCAGCAGTGAGACCATTGAGCCTTCAAAACACAACAACTCAAACCTTACTTGAAGGCTCATGGGACTTAGTAAGTAAGGTTACAAGTAGGTTATAACTAGGATAGCCCCACTTAGGGGACTTATAACCCCAATTATACCCTACTTACTAAGTCCCATGATCCTCTAAGTAGACCCTAAACCCTAAACCCCATAGATGCCTTTAAGGAACCCTATAGATCCCTTTAAGGAGACCTTTAAGGAACCTACTTACTAAGTCCCATGATCCTCTAAGTAAGGTCCGCAATCGGGTTTGGGACCTTCCTCCTCTTTGGTGGCTTCTGCATCGTTGCGCTGCTGTTGGGGCTGTGGCTCCCCGAGACAAGGGGGGTTCCACTTGAGCAGGCACCCTGTTGGCGCAGTAAGGCTTTGTAGGGTCTAGGGTTTGGCGTAGTAGTGGTTTATAGGAGTTTCGATAAGGGTTCCAGAAATATCGAGGCCTCAGTCATGAGAGTGCTGTCTTTGTCATGGTTTCTGAGAGGTTCATGAAGTTTCTCTGTCAGGGTTTGTTTAGTCATTAGGTCTAGGCTCATATAAGAACTCTATGTGGACACGACTTTTAAGCATTCAGACCTTTGCATACAGGCTACTAGAAGACCTCTACAAGGGTCCTATAAGATTTTATCAGAGTTCTACAAATCTACAAAAGTAGGCCGAGGGCCTCGGCGTGGGAGGAGTTCCGGCTTTGGGAGTTTTTGGCTTTGGAGTTTAAGTGAGCCGAATATCAGCACCGGCAAGACGTTGAGGACTGTTTCTTCTTCATGGTAGCCCTAGCCGGTAGCCAGGGAGCCCGAAAAGCCTACGATTGCTTGTTCGAGCAGTTGCTGCATCACGAGTGTTGAAGCTACTTCCACTGCCATCTTTAATTTTCGAACATGAGACCCTAAACCCTAAACCCTAAACCCTAAACCCTAAACCCTAAACCCTAAACCCAAACTGAAGAGCAGGAGGAAAACCCGAAGTCGCAAAGCCCGCAGAACCTTGAACCCGCAAAGCCCTCTTCCAATGACCACGGCGCCCATTATTCACTGCCTGCCACACAGTGTTTTCCTGAAGCTTTCGAGGTCGTGGCATCTCGTGTCATGTAGGAGTATTCCTTGAAATTCCTTATGATGTCTATTGCAAAACTACCATAGTGGCCCGTGGGTTCCAGGGCCTAAGGCTTCAGGGCTTAGGGCCCAAGTGCTATACTGGGTTCTAGAGTACCATACTTGAATGCTGTTTTGGATCTGTTCCTTAGAGGAACAATTATGAAAATAGAAGTCTGTACGTTTTTCTCCCCGGCTACTTCAAAGTCCAGTATAACCTGACATTCTCAAGTCCTCAATACCCTGAACCCTAAATCCTAAATCCTTAACCCTGGTGGCGTTGAGAATCGCCCGCGCCATATCTGCAATCAGCTCGCCCAAACGGGCATTTGAGACGCTTCATGCAGTTCGAAAAGCAGCCCTAAAACAAAAACTACATCCTAAACCCTAAATCTTCAAACCTGGTATTCCGACTGTAGCAGGAAGGAAAAAATGGCGCTCAAAATAAAAAATACAAAAACCTTCAAACCTGGAGCCCCCAAACCAAGGCTAAAGCTGCAAGGGGTTTTAGACTGAGCTGCCCTTGACTAGACTCTACTGAAAAGATCATAGGACTGAGGTACCTGAAAGGCTTCCTTAAAGGGTTCTGAGAGAGAATATCGGTTTCAGAGGTACTGAAAAGATCATGGGACTTAGTAACTGGGGTTAAAGAACGGGTAATTATACATCAAAAAGCTTATCAACCAAAGTAAGGTACGTATAAACTTACTGAAAAGTCTCTTCCTCCAAGTACTTGAAGGCTCATGGGACTTAGTAAGTAAGGTTATAACTAGGATAACCCCACTTAGGGGACTTATAACCCCAATTATAACCTACTTACTAAGTCCCATGATCCTCTAAGTATTCTGGCCAGATTGGAACCTGCTTTGATGAGCGATTCGGATTGCTGGAGGGCAAAGCAGCAGACACAGCGCCTGGGCCAGTTCAGGAACCCTACGTGGAGGATCAGGGGGCTTAGTAAGGGTTCTTAAAGGGCTCCTGCAAGGGATCTATATAGGGTTCCTTAAAGGGATGTATAGGGTTTAGGGTCTAGGGCACTACTTGGAGGATCAGGGGACTTAGTAAGTAAGGTTATAAGTCCCCTAAGTGGGCTTATAAGTATTTATAAGTATAGTTTAGTTACCTTATTTATAGATAACCCTAGTTACTAAGTCCCATGATCCTGCAAAGTAAACCTTGAACCGGCACTGCAAGACTCGGAAGTAGCGACTCTCTCGGCCCTGCTACGTGGTCTGTACTTCGGCTGCATCTGATGACACTCTGTGTCGCCCAAAGTCTCGGCGCCTGTCTTTTGCGAAGAAAGCACGAGAAGCCTGCAGAACCCTTACTGCAAAGGAGCCCTATTCTAATTTTTACGGCAGCTTTATATGTGCCCTGCACATCGTTCTTGACTGCGACAGCTCCAAGAGTGCTTGACTTCAGAGATTTTCAGCCGACCCCTTCACCCGAAACCCTACCTTAAGCCGGAATATCATACTTTTTTAAAGTTCCTTATTATGGTTTCCTTATATAGGTCCATAAAAAAAGGTAGGTTATTCCGGCTTAAGGTAGGCCGTAAACCCTCACTTCCCTCACCCCTGAGCCAAGCTGAGGAGAGCTATGGGGCAATTTCGAAGAGGCCTGGATCTGTTTGGGGACAGTTTTTGGGTTCATGCGAGTTCTCTAAACCCTAAACCCTTAAACCCTCAACCCTATACCCCTCAACCCTAAACCCTAAGTGAACCCGCCCTGTCCAGGATGTAGCTGGCTCCTCCGCAAGAGATCTGATGGAGCGGGTGAAGGGCCGCCTCCGCCGGCCGTAGCACAACTTGGTTTCAGTGCTATCCCGAGGAATTCATCAAGTCACAGAGGACAGCAGCGGTGGAGGAAAAAAGGGCCCCGGCGTGCAGACCCTGAGTCCTAAGACTAGGGACCAGTGCCTGTTCGCAGTCTTGCCATTCTTCGCCTGAAGGCAGTATCTAAGATGCCCAGTAGTACCCTTATTCCCTTTTTGTGGTCCTAGGTTCCTCATAAAGTTACCCAATACCCAAACAGGGAGCTCTTTCTATTCTAGGTTACTGGGCATCCTAAGTATTTCGTTCTTCACCCTAAGCACAAGTCCTAAACCCTCAGCCTGACACCCTGAGCCTCAACCCCTTAAGCTCTAACCCCTGAAGCGAAACCGTAAGCCTTGTAGGGTCTTCTTCTTCTGACCCCTTAAACCGATACCCTAAAAGCCTAAAGCCTAAACTAACCTCCGAGCCCCCCCCAAGCCCTCAAGCGAAACCCGAAGCCTCAAAGACCCTGGGCCCTAGGGCCTAAACCCAACCTCCTCTGAGCCTTATGGACCGGAAAACCCTCAACCCCAAACCCAGCTTAACTGTATCTGCAGTTCGAAAAGAGCAAAAAAAACAACACCCTAAACCCTAGACCCGCAAAAAACAACAAAAACAGCTTGAATTTAGACCTGAACGAGGCCGAGTCACCCACGAAGAACGAGCACCCCGAGGTCCGAGGAGAAGAGTGCAGACAAGCTGCTAACATATTGGGGGAAAAATATGGTCTTCCCCAATATGTTGGGCGAAAAAATATTTTTCCCCCAATATGTCAGTGAAGGTGATGCTCTGTAGGGCGGTTTAGGGTTTAGGGCTTCTAGGGCGTTTTAGGGTCTGTAGGGTCTTTAGGGTTTGGGGTTTTAACGCTGTCAAGGCTTTTAGGGTCTTTAGGGCCTGTAGGGTTTCAGGGTTTAGGGCCAGGGTGTTAGAATCAGCCTTGTCCTTTTTGATGGTTCCCCCAAAAGAATACACAGACCGGCTAGTAGACCTTCTTAAATAATTCCTAATAAGGGATATAGGTATAGGGCCCTGTCTATTATTTCTAAAAGGACAAGGGTGGTTAGAATGGCTGTGTAATTTCGGGTCTGGGTTGTAGGGTTTCGGCCCAGGGTTTGTGGATTTTCCAAGGCTTTGCAAGGGCTTTCTTAGAGGGTGTAGGGCAGGTGTTGGGGTTTTGGGTTTTAGGGGGGCTTTACTTGGAGGGCCAGGGGACTTAGTAAGTCGTTTTGTAAGTACGGTTATAATTGGGGTAACTCCATTTAGGGTACTTATAGCTCTATTTATCACCTACTTACTACGTCCCCTGCCCCTCCAAGTATGCTTTTACATACGGGATGCCAAAGGAGCTTCTGCCGCGTCTTCAGAGGCGTCTCATCCGCGATCACCAGCATGTGGTGGTTCTGATAATTGAATGTGCCATGAGAAGGTGCATCAGCAATAGTACGAGAGCGCGCACCTAGAGCCCTATTTCCCGAAAGACCTTATCTCCCTCCATCCCCTCATCTCCTCGTAGAGTAGAACCCCTCTAGGGCCCGATCAGGGTACTTAGCCAGTAAGGTTAGAAAACTTAACTGGTGTTGTGGGTACTGCTAAATGTTTTAAAGTGTACTTAGCAAATTTGTAACACTACGGCTTTTGATATAAATCCTGCATCAAACCATAATAAGGAATATACCATAATTCCCATAGTTTAGGGTCCTTAAGCTAATGCAGGATTTATATCATCAACCGTAGTTACTATTCTACTAAGCTCCGAGCTCACGCCCGTCGCCGACTCTGCTGCGTTGCACCTCAAGCTTCACTGTGCCAACCGTGCCTGCCCCGCAAAGTCCGGATGGCACAATCAGGCTTGAACGGGTGCTTCGGGTCTTTGGTGTTTCTCCAAGGGTCCAAAGGACCCAATAATTAGGTATTCGGTTTTAGGATAGTACTAGTAGTTATGTAAGTTAGGATTTTGGAAGGTATATGATTATTAGGTGTTGATGATATAAATCCTGCATTACGTTAAGGACCCTAACCTATGGGAATCATGGTATATTCCTTACTATGGGTAATGCAGGGTTTATACCATCAACTGCTCTCTACATGTTTTTCAAGTTGTTGTAGCGCCATGCAGTTATGTAATGTAGGTAAAGCTGTTGTTCAACGAGTTTCATTGGCTGTATAGTATAGGCATGTTGGATTTCTGTGTGCTTTTCTCGCGAGTGGTTCAGGGCTTATTCTTTCGTTCAGTTCCAAGAGGGAGTTTCTGACAAAGACAGGACCGTTTAAGAGTCTGTCAAGGGTTTCTTTACAAGAACCCTTAACTCAAAAGGAGCCCTTAAAGCAGCCCTTAATGGAACATTCAAGGAACCCTGCAAGGAGCCTGTAAAGAAACCCTCATGGTGGCTATAATATAAAGAGCCTCAATATAAGGGCGCTTACCGTAGAGTAGTAAATCGTGAAAACCCTAGGCCCTGTATCCTTTTCTAAACCCTAAACCCTAAACCCTACCCTAAGCCCCGAATCCTGTATTATTGCTGAGTCCCTTGTGCTAAGGATCCAGCCTAAGCTAGGGCGGCCGGTGACTTAAACCCTGACCCCCAAGCCTCGAATCGTGAGAATCCTGGGGCCCTAAATCCTAAGCCCTACGGTTGATGATATAAATCTTGCATTACCCATAATAAGGAATGTACCATACTTTCCATAGTTTAGGGTCCTTAAGGTCATGCAGGGTTTATATCATCAACCCTAAAACCCCCCCAAACCCCAAGCCCCAACACCTTACCTTTGGTCAGTAGGGAATGGAAGAATGGTAGTAATAGTAGTTATAATTGTACCCCATTCCTCCATTCCCTACTCACCAAATGTAAGACGCTGCAGGTGACACGAGAATCTGAAGGGAGGACCTGTCTTGCCCATGAGCAGGTTGGCGGACCGCCCCTTGGAAGCATCGATCAAAGGGGAGAAGGAGGGACTCTTAATGGGGACCCCTACCTTATAATAGGCTATATAATGGGTATTATTAGGGGTCCTTAATAAGGACCGCCCCTTGGAAGCATAGGAGGCCAAAAGGAGTTTATAGCCTATGGGGGTTTAGTAGGGATTAGGCTTCCCATAATAGGGTTCATGTTAAGGAATCCCTACCCCCGACCCTCTGAGTAGCATTCGACTTCGGGCTAATCGGGGACGCAAGGGTTTTCTGAAAGCCTTACTAGGTTCCTAAGTAGTAGGATACCCTTTGTTAAAGCAAGAAAAATTAGGGTACCTTTGAAACATGGGGTTACTTACTACTGCAGGGAGCCTGGCAACTAGAGTATAATGAATTGCTGGGATTCCCCATACTTTCTGGCTTCTACTGCAAGGGTATTCAAAGGTTTCTCTATGTGTTTTTCTAGGGGCCAACTACAGTGTTTATGTCAGGGTTCTATGAGAAGAATCCTGTACGGTTTCTGAGGGATCCTTGATGGGCTTTGAAGGGGTTTGCACTGAAGGGGTCTTTATGAGGGCTCAAGAAGACTTTGTACAATTCAGTGGTTTTCTACGGGCTTCGGGGTGAAATCTGCTCGTTAGGGCTTGGGGTTTCTTTCCTTGAGTGTCGCAAGCCCCAAAAGAAAACGTCTCCGTCGTCGTCCCAAAGGCTCGGAACGGTCACGGTTGGGCAGATCTTGGTTGATATAGGCCCCCCTTTCAAGGGATCCGATTAAGGGTCCTGATAATAAGGATCCGGCTATTTAGGGTACTATATATTAGGGTCCCCTAAATTCGGAAACTCCCATATAGGCCCCCCCAAGACTGCCAGGACTTTTTGCTGACCCGTATATCCGACATCCTACATCCCGACTCCCCAATTTGAAGAAGCCCCGATACGTCGGGCTTACGACGGCTCTGAGGCGATTTCCAGGCCTTCCTTGATGCCGACGACTCTATTGAGGCCTGTTGGGGTTTAGGTTTGCTTTTAGGACTCGTCCATCTTGGATTTGTGGCCCAAGGTTTTGGGGTTCAAGGTCTGCGGTTGTGCAGGTTCTTGGGCTGTTCAGTCCAGCATGTGGACGTCCGTACTTGGAGGGGCAGAGGACTTAGTAAGTAGGTTCTAAGTGGAGTCCCCACTTAAAATGACTTACTAAGTCCCCTGGCCCTCCAAGTAAGCAATCTGGCCGAAGCAGCTATACTATTGTGGGGTTCCTTATTATGATTACGGCGCAGTATAGTATACTGGCCCCCAAAACCCTGTTCCAATTGTTAAGGCCCCCATGTTAAACCAGGAGAATGACGGCGGAAACAGCCCCACCGTCTTCAAGGACTCTACTTGGGTCGCCGGCTGTTCTGGGGGGCCGAGTTCAGGGGTTTACGGTTTGGTTTCGGGTTTGCCTAGTGGTTTAGGGTTTAGGGTTTAGGCTTTAGGGCCTAGTGACTTAGTGGATCAGGGGACGTAGAAAACAAGGTTAGAAACAAGGCAACTATGTCATATTACATCTGAAAGTACTTTGTAAGCCCATTGAACCATATCTATAGCCTTTTAAGAAGCCTCTAGGAAGCCATATAACCTTCCTTCCTTGATTAGTGCCCTGATTCTCCAAGTTGCTTCAGCCAGCCCGGTCCCACAGCTTGTGCCCAAGTCTCGGCAGGACGCGAAGAAAGATTCTCAAAGGCCACTCGGATCGCAGCTCCCACCAAAACCCTAAACCTTAAACCCTGTAAAGCTGTACACCGTACCATGCAGCCTGAACGCTCAACCCTAAACTCTACGCCCTAAACCCTACACCCAAAGCCTGAACCATGTACCCTGAACCAGATGAGCTTTGTGCCAGTAGCAGGTTTGGCCGCCCGCTTTCGGCCATGTCTGCCAGCACCGCGGCAGACGAGGCCGGCGCGGGCAGCTTAATTACTTCTGTTTTCCTCAACGTCCCATCAAGTGCGGTAGTTTTTATCGTTGTTCATCCTTGAGAGCGTGCTCAGGCGGGCATGATGGTGGGGGGCATCCAGGTGCGCATGCACCTTGCCTGCATTTTCCAGGACCATTTCCTCGGGCGGAAGTGTGGAGAGATTTGGGTCTGGAGGTCTTTGCCGTGTATGGTGTTCGGTGTTACTGTTCGTACTGAATAATCATGGGTTCAGGGTTTTCAGCTGCAGAATTTTACTTAGGGTTTCCAGGAGTTTGGGGTTTAGCGTTTGCCCGTCAGGGATTCGAATCGCATCAGTCTCAATGTCAAAACACAACCTGCAAAAGTTCTGCACGTATGAGAAAATCGTGCTGCAGAGAGTGCGAGACTGTGGTGGGTTTAGGGTTTAGGGTTTAGGGTTTAGGGTTTAGGGTTTAGGGTTTAGGGTTTAGGGTTTAGGGTTTAGGGTTTAGAGGATCCCTTATAACATATCAGGACGCTCGTTTGGGAATCTTCCCGATAGAAGCCTGTTGGATAATTACTTGCAGCATCTTGTCCTCATGTCCTGAGGTACTACTTTAGGGTTCAGATATAACTATCTGATAATCTCCCCAAAGAGCCTTCTTCTCACTATCAAGGCCGTCTCTATACTTGTAGGGCCTTCATGCACCTTGGGAGCCCTTTGACAGAACCAGTCTGGTCTTTAATACTATGTGGGAGTTTCCGAAAATTGGGGGTACCTTATTTTGGGGTCCTTATAATAAGGATCCTACAATTTAGGGTGCTATCTTGGGGTCCCCTTTTTTGGGGAGACTCCCATGTACGTTCCCACGTTACAGTGCCTACTGTGCCAACCGGAAGGGTTCTTCGCACAAGTGCGAGTCTGTGAAGAAGCAAGTTGCATGTGCCAAGTGTCGCAGGTTGCTTGTTTATTTTGCATTCTGCGTCTATTCTGTCTGTCTGTATGAATGTATGTCTAAACCTGAACCCTAAACTTCCCCTAAACCCCTAAACTCCCCTGAGCGTGAGCCTTAAACCTTAGAATCCCTACACCTTAAACCCTACAGTTCCCTCAAGCCCTAAACTTCCCTACTTGGAGGATGAGGGGACTTAGCAAGTAAGGTTATAAGTACCCTAAACCCTGAACCCCAAACCCTAAACTCTAGAATCTCCAGACCTTAAACCCTACACTTCCCTAAAGCTTGAACCCTAAACCCTGTATAAACCTTAAACCCTAAACCCTGTATACCGCCTAAACCCTAAACCCTGTATAAAGCCTAAACCCTAAACCCTGTATACCGCCTAAACCCTAAACCCTGTATAAAGCCTAAACCCTAAACCCTGTATAAAGCCTAAACCCTAAAGCCTGTATAAAGCCGAAACCCTAAACCCTGTTTAAAGCCTAAGCCCTAAATCCTATATAAACCCCAAACCCGAAACCCTATAGAAACCCTAAGCCCTAAACTCTAACCCTAAACCCTAAACTCTAACCCTAAAGCCTAAACCCTAAACCCTAAACCCCAAAGCCTAAACCCTAAACTCTAAAGCCTAAACCCCAAGCCCTGTAGCTCCTAGGCCGGGGCAGAGTCGCCCGAACTCCGCGAGTAGCAGCCGGCCCGGGCCCTCGGTCCTGGAATGGTGCCTTCTGACAGGGATTCTTTAGGGTTTAGGGGTTTTGGGCGTGGGGGGTTTAGGGGTTTGGGTTTAGGGGCTTGGAGTTTAGGAGTTAGGGGTTTAGTCAAGAGATGCGGAACACATGCTTCCTCAGGGACCGTGCTTCCAACTTGTAAGCGTGCCCGCTCAGTTGATTTATCTTTCAAGGTTGTGTGTGATTCATGAGCATGCTAGGCACAGACTTAATAGTATGCAGGGGCCATCAGTCATCCTTCGTGGAGCATGTGTGCACATTATCGTACAATGACAGAACACAGTTTTTTAAAGATGCCGCTCCCCATGTTTTCGGCAGCTTTCCAGCGCCGAGTGGAGAAGGAAGTGCCATGGGTTTTGGATCCGAACTACGATCATGACGAGCCCACTGGCACAATGAGGAGGGAGCGATTTATATACCTTCTGGAATGGGGTCATCGGTTGTTGGCGACAGCTGTGGAGAGGGACCGATCCTGAGTTGATTTGTGCAAGCATCCCAGTGTTGGCAACACCCAGTAGAAAACACCAACCATTCAAACCCCTCGCACAGGAACATGTGCCGAGCGCCTTCATCGACGGCTCCGACTTCGAGGAGACTTTGCCGACCGAGGGCGGGCAGATTCTTTGCTCCTTTATCGCATTTGGTCATATAGCACGGGGCTATTCATGTTTTGACGGGACTCGCCACAGACCCAGGTCTGCAGATGGTGTCGCGAATCCTTCCGGGAGGCTTGCTCTTTATGTCGTGACCCAGATGCAATTTGCTTGGCAACCTTTCACTGGTGTGGGCAGTTCTGAATTTGCTTCCCTGCTCCATTGAGATTGAGGCCATTTCGGTATTTCAGCTCCTTGGAGGGAGTGAAGGAGGTCGCCGCGACTTGGCCGTGGATGGTGAACGGGCTAAGTTCTTCAGGCCCCAAAAGAGCACCCAAACATAAACATTCAGTATCGGATGCCACATGCAAGCATTCAACGTTCCGGGCTGTTGGCTGGCAGGCAATTTGGGCTTGGAGAAAATAGTGGGGGTACCGTCGTGCATAGGTGTAGGTACTTCTGGAGTCATATCGAAACATGTGTAAGTTGCATTGGACTACATACTTCTTTTTTGGCATAGCCTGACAATTTGTTTGGCGTTTTTGTGTAATCAAGTCTTCTAGCATATCCTGGAGATGTGCGAATGCTTAAATCCGGATATTTGCTTGCCGGGGCAGCGGGATATCCCGATCCAAGTCTGGGATATCCCAGACTTTTGCCCGCTCTTGAAGGAAGCGTAGTCTGCGCAATATTTTGCATGCAGGCACATAAACTTTTTTTGGGACGAGAGTGAGCTGCGGGATATCCCGGGCCCAAGTGGGTGATGAACCAATAAAAGGGGTTTTGGCGCATTCCCGTCGAGGATTGAGTCGTCAAAATAATGAATTGTAGCGACACTTGTTTTTTTTATTCGGATAGCTTGCAGAAGATATGTATTACAAATGATATGTTTCGGTTTCGGGCCGGCAACAGGCAGAGACCCATCAGTTCCTGAGGCCATGAGCGTTGAGATTAATCTTTCTGCCACTCATGCCTTTGTGATCTTAAGCTAATCTATCCCAAGCAGGTTTTTTTGTTTGCGTTCTTTTTTCTCGCCCTAGTTCTGGTTTGTGTGATTGGGAAATGATGCCATGCCTTGGTTGATTTGAGGAGTTTCTGAGCGACCTGATGATGCTGTGCCACTTTATACGCATCAGAGTCGTTATCACGATGCCTTTGCACGTCGCGGTCTGTTTCGAGAAGCAGCCTTGCTTGCAGGACTGCCACTCAAGTCTAGAGGAATCAATGGTGCGGAATCCAGTGTGGAACAGACTGAATAGACCTTGCTGTGACACAGGAGCCGGCAGCAGCCATGAAGTGCATCAAGGGCTCCTTCCCGAATGCTGTTTTTGGCAGCAGCAAGCAGCATCTCATTCTGCATTTGGGCCTGTGTCCGGTTGTGACTTGATTCTCATGAGAGCCAGAAAGCAACAAAGGGGTATGACCTGGATGATTGGAAGCGATCGCCTCGTGATCAAGGGCATCAAATTCATTTCCTCCCGCCTTCTGTTGATGCTGCTTGGAATGAACGGTTTAGTTGTCTTCAGCTTGTGGCTGTTGGTCATGTCATGTGGCCATGCTCATGTAATGTTTTTTTCATGTGTACTTGGTCTTAGGTACCGCTCCTGTTTGGCCAACAAGAAGGTGGACACATTGTCGACCATGCCGAATTACTTTGACGTCATCACCGGGAGCTTTGTGTACTGTGTCGCATGCATGCAACTTAGTGTTCTGTGCGGCTTCGCTTTGTTGCTTGGGTTTAGGCAATAGCCTGACTGGCAGAGGTGTGCGATCTGGTGATGCTCCGGCACCGCCGCTCTGTGGACTCCCTCATGACACTGAACTGGTCCAGGCAGTTTAGTGCAATGGCCCTCACTGTCTTGAAAGAGGCCCGGGCGCGACAGCTGCTTGATTGTCTATTTGTGTTTGAGCAATTAATTCGGCATTCGCCCCTGATGCTGGACGGTTGCTTGCGAGGACCTGGACGATTGCTATATGGTTAATCGTCGGGATTCAGATCCAATTCGAGATGGCCGAAAGCAAGATATTCGCTTCGAGGTGGCATTCTGTCTGTCAGTGCTGTGTTTCAATTGTGCTTCATTCTTGGTTTCGTGCCCCTTTCTTGCCATTGTGCAGGCCCAGGACTTCTACGTGACGCGGCCCTTGGGACCATCCATGCTGGCTGTACCACGGCAGCACATCTTATGTCTGTATGTATGCCGGAGGTAGGGTATTGTCTCAAATCGTGTGTTCGATCACAACAGCACAGGTCTGCGGCATTTGAAGACAGTAGGGGTCGGGGCAAGGGTCATTTCTGGTTGTGCTGAGGCCACCCAGACAACTGTGACGGATATGCTCGGGGAGGCCTGCCCCTCGCTTTGCAGCTTTCTGTGTCTTCGACCGTGGGAAAGAGCTGGCTTGATTGATTCATTGATGGGGTTTTCAATAGCTTGATTTGTTCACTAGTGGTTATTTAATTTAAATCGGAATCTGTCTGTGGGGATGCCCGACTTGTGCAGGAGTGGGAACCTCTGCCACCCGTTGAGTCTTGAGAAGGGCGAGCAGAAGCTGCTCGGATTACAATGACTGTAGGGTGGATCATGGGGTCCTAATGTCGGTCTAATCTAAGCCCGGAGTCATCAGAACCGAACACCACCATCACCATAGCTAATGAATAAGACTACGACTCACACCACAGGGGTCATTCTCGTTATTAGTAGTAATCACTGGCTGGCTTTGTGACCCGCGCGCGATTCATAAGCTCATGAACGCAGACGCTTTTTTTTGACTGTCGCACATTGCAGCTTCAATAGCTCAGGCACAGCTGAGATCGGCTGGCCGTGGTTATGTTTATGATGAGATCTGGAGGATCAAATTTTGGTTATTCCTTGGCTACGACGATTATCCGGATATCTGGTCGATGAATGGGGGCAGGCTGCTTGGATTGAAACAATGCAGGAATGGATCAGGCCACACGGCTCTCAGCTGCAACTGTGGTCGTGCCGCTTTTAAGGGTTCATAGTCTGGTGTTGAAATTCGTTGGGTCCGTAGGCAAGTTCCATAGTCATGTGATAGCGAAACTAATTCAATTATTGTATTATGCTGATACAAGCAATAACCTACTTCAGATCGCAGTGCCCGGCTTGTGATTGTTGTAATGCACTCGATAGAAAAATAAACTGCTTCTGACTGACTCTATAGCTACCGTCTAAATACTACAGAATCCTGAATCGAAAATACATTAGTCTATGAATATAATAAGTACAACCCCTGAAACACTGCCCTGTACCGTACCCGAGACTTTGGGGTTTCTTGGGACACGGGAATGAATTAACTAACTAAATCAAAAAGATAAAACCCTGCCTGCATGCTCTGAGTGGTGTCGGTTTGGTTCCTGAGAATATCCTAATTGTGCTTGGTCTTCGCTGGTACGAGGGTCTGATCTGCACTAAATACAGGGGGTGATCCACGCATCTAAGTTGCAGCCGATTGGGCTATTGCTGCTGGGGCATCTGGAATGAGTGATGCTTGATTTATATATCATGAAGGTTTCTCCCTCATTGATTGGCCGAAAACAGTCATAAATCGAGAGCCCTCAATCTCAGGTGCAGAGCAGCGGGCCAGTGGCTCCTGGGCACAGCTCTGACGTTTGTTCCGGGGCATGAAAAGCGAGGGTTCTGATGGGCTGATTGGAGTTTGCCTTGCAAGTGAAGCCAGCACTGAACTTTGTGCCAAGCTTGTTACACCTGTGTTTCGAGTGCCTCGACATTGCTCAAGCGTGGGCTTCAGGACAGCATGCACCACGCACTAGACACAAGACTTGCAGCAGGCAACACAGGAACCACGTGGTTTTCACTGCGGGGCTTTCATGATCATGAGGTCCCCGGCCCTTGAAATCGTATGATAATCTCACAACCCACCTAGGGCTCCAGATTTCGTAGATCCGTGCCCCAGCAATCACGATTGCTTGTTCGTGAAGGGCTCATGGTGAAGCTGAACAAGCCGGGGGTCAGCAGGACCCCGTTTCACGCTTCGCTTGCTTCTAGTGGTAGCCACAAATCACTGATGTTTTGGATTGTCCTGTGTCTGGGCTGCAGGACCAACTCCACGAAGAGCCTGGCCGCCGCTGCTGGCGACGGTGAGGACGAGACGCCCTCGGCACGCCAGTTCCTGATGAGCACGGCCCGGAGATCGCTTGATGAAGCTTTCACAGGGGGCGCCTGGGATAGGATTTATGCTGCTTCCGGCTTTCGACAGTGACAGTAGTTGTTGCTCTTCACCCGTGCAATGCAATCTCAGGCAAGCCCAGCGACTCGGAGAAGAAGAGTGGGGTGAAAGAAAAGAAAAAAAAGAAGGAGAAGAAGGACAAGAGCAAGAAGAAGAAAAAAAAGGGTGCCAGCATCTCTTCTGCAAAAAGCCATAGTCGCTGATCCATAAATGCAGCAAGGCCCGATGCTTGTCTGAATGCACGATCGGAGGCAGCAGCAGCTCGAAGTCCAGCGGCGACGAGGATTCCAGCTCCTGCCTGGAGTCCGAGGACGTTGACGACTCCGCGGCTTTGTTCGGGTTGTCAAGGAAGGAGCTGCAGAAAAGCGACGAGGTCTGCAAGCTTGACGACTTTCCGAGCAAGCAGCTGGGCTTCGTGTTGTCACATGTGACCGAGATGTTGGCTGCAACAGAAGTGTATGAATGCGGGGGGGAACTGGAGCCTCGGACTCATTGTGGTTTCGCTTGGGCTAAGACTTCTGTTGCTCTTATGAATTGGGGCCGCTACATTAACTTCTTTGCAAGGTTCATTACGGTAGCTGCGAAAGTAGCTGTCTCTGCATATTGGTGTTTTCGTGTGTGTGTGTGTGTGTGTGTGTGTGTGTGTGTGTGTGTGTGTCTGTGTGTGTGTGTGTGGTGTTCCTTGCCTGTTGTACCCATACGTATTCAACTCACTCTATTAATCTATGTACCTCTAGGTAGAACCTTACTTGCGATCTTTGTAATCTCCGGGGTCTTGTTGGGTTTACTAGCGGCTGCAGTAATTATCAATAGTGTCAGACAAACAAATACTGAGTTCTTTCCTGGATTCCTTTCACTGAGAAAAATCCACCGCACAACCCTGCCCGAACACTGCCCTGCCTTCTCGTGTCACCTGTTCCCAGGAAACCCTGCTGGCCAACCGCGAGAAGAGGGCCCAGAAGCAACGCCAGAAGGAAGAGAAGGAGCAGTATGCTTTCGAGGCTCGTGTGGCAATCTGGACCAAGTGCTTTCGACGGGTAGTTCGAAGCTTAACCTGGGATGGGCGGGCTTTGGTTGGATCAAGTTTTTTGTTGGTGAGACGACTAGCAACGGACTCGGCAAATTCGGATTTCTAGCTTCGGGGCTTCTGGAGCACACGTGCTTCTGTAGTCAGTGTCTTGCGTAACATATATAGCTTTTGGCGCCTGGATCACAGGCAGTGAGGGCCCCATGTTGTGACTGACCAAATAGCGAGCCGAGTTTCTGGGATCACAGCAGAGTTTCCAAGCCTGATTTGGTGTAGGTTTCCAACGACGGTATTTTAAGTCCCGAGGAAACTACCATTGACTACGCTGGGTGTAAACCAAAGCAAAACACCCCTCGTACCCCAGGTTCGACATGGTCAACGCTTGTAACGGCCCTTTCACATAGAAGAAACAAACCCAAGCCCTATAATATAAACTTACTATACATAATACCCATAAAGATTCCCGTCTGTCGCCAGGGTCGCACGGCATCGACACTCTGGGCGAAAAGGATGAGCGACCTCGTCGTCGCTCGTGGCTTGTTCAGGATGATTGAGAAAGGATTTCTCGTTTCGGGGTGAGGGCCAGGTTGCTTGGAGTTTTACAATTGCTTCGGAATTCCGACAAATACTATTAGAAATCAACTAGAGCCAGTAGCTCGGGGTTACTTGGGTAGGACTGCTGTGGTTCGGGCGAATAGTTTCCTTGGTAACCAGGAGGTAATCTTGGATGGGGGAGTGTGTTTTGTAGGCTGTTGTTGTGGCCAAGAAATACGAGTGTTGTGCCGGTCCGCAGGAGCACTCTACAATAGACGACACGTTTCGCACAGGGCCAAATGAACGAAACCTAGCCTAGCCGTTTCTTGCTAAACTGTGCAGAGACCACGAGCCCGCCCAATGCCCGGCACCCCCTCGCCTAGGCTCAGAATTCACAATAGTCGTGTGTGACTGACTGTCTCTGTCCTAGCACGAACAATTTCAGCTGAGTTACGGGGCGAGCTCCCTCCGCCATCTCCGTTGGCAACGCCAAAAGCCTGAGCGATTGCTCAGCAGTGCTGCGACTTCTTTACCGCAAGGCTTTGAGGCACCGCCGGGCTGATGTATTTCAAATTAATTAATTCCTGCAGTTTCCACCTACCATCATGCAATAATTAGTCCCGGTCGACTAAATTCTGAGCTATTCGAGCATATTCCCAGCACCCCAACAGGCGGAGCGACGAGGGAAAATCCGCGATGCAGAAGAAGGTGGCAGCGATCCTGAGCAAGCACCGTGAGGCCAGTCCCACGGTAACCCTAAATCCTAAACCCCTAAACCCTAAACCCCTAAACCCTAAACCCTAAACCCTAAACCGTTACCACAGTGCTGCTGACTTGCATGCTCTCATAGACCATAGAGCACAGATGCTGCCGCTGGCTTGTCAGATAATTACTGTACCCGCATAGTAGTTTCGCCTGGCCCTATTTTTTCAATGATACAGTTGCTTGCATCCTGTGTTGCCCAGGCGGCCACGCAGGACCTCAAGCAGCAGATCAGCCGGCAGAGCTCGGGCAGCGGCATCGCGGCGCCGAAGGCGAAGAAGCTGCCTCCGCCAAAGCCACCCAAGAGAAAGGGCGAGACCGACGACAGCCGTGTTGGGAAGCCGAAGCTTACGACGACAGAGCCGAGGTCCAATCTCCGGGCGATCCGCGACAAAGAGCCGGAGCAGCACGAGGAGAAGGAGGAGCCAGAAGTTCCGGGAGAAGGAGAGGATGTCAAGACGGGCAAGGATGATGATGAGTTCCTGGGCGAGGACGATGTGCCGAGCCCCCCGGAGGAGCTGGACAGCGACGACAACGACGAGGTGGCCAACTCAGAGGGGCAGCAGGAGAGCGGCGACGACGATGATATCTTCACGGGCGACTTTGCTTTGGAGAAGGCAAGCAAGGCAGAGCATCAGAAGGCAAAGGCCATCCCCGCAAAGGCCCAGATGTACCTGGACAAGCTGGACAAAGACCTCGCCTCCTGCATCCCCAAAGACCTCTCCGAGCCACCGTGTTGCATCTATACAGTCGCTGCTTTCGTGTTCGGGCCTGCTTAGGCCCTCCATGCCCCAATTGTGCACACCCGAGGTCAGACTTGGGGAACTGGGTGCGGCTTCTGTTCTCCGAAGGCATGCTACGTCTGGAGGATGTAAAGCTTATTGCGAACCTGCCAGGATGCCTTTTGCCTGAAGACTGATTCGTGTGATGAGGGTTCAACATAACATATGTTATCCCACCGTTCCGGAGCAAAGGTACGATGTCGGGCAGCCTCGGTCCGGGCAAAGCTTTCTACAACAAGCTCTCCATCAAAGCCAAAACGGAGTTGGACCCATGGGCCCAGCGGATTGCAAGTGGGGAGGCTGCTTGGTGGCAGTTATGGTCTTCAATGCTGTTCTAAGAGTCACTCGAGCTATTCATGACCTGTGCCAGGCCTTCGCGACCCCAAGCCGGCGACCAACAGGAGCTCCGCTGACGTCAGGCTGAGCAGGACCGGAGTGGTATCCACGGGCCGAGCCCGACTGGGCTCTTTTCTTTCAAGAAATTTAATAGTTGAAGGCTGCAGGGCCTCGCAGATGACAATGCCTCTTAGGTCACAAGCTGCTGGCTATGCTAGGGGATCCAGGGTCAAAGAGGTTCCTACATTGCTTTTTATTCATTGATAAATACTAGTCTAGTCTAGTCTAGACAATAATAATAATAAATAATTAGTCGTGGTGCTGTCGGATTCTAGCCTGAATTCTTTCGAAGATAGCTAGGCTCCTACTAACTCAGGACCTTGCCTAGGGAGTTTTCTTGTGGTTTAATTTAAAAGTGTCTAAATAGTCTTAGTCGTGTGGTTTAAATTTAGAACAGCAAAGTCGTGCTGGAAGGATTTCTTGTGATGACTCACTGACTAATTCGATAGTAGTTTGGATAATATATTATTTAAATCTACACGGGGGTAAGAAAGGAGACTCCAAGGATACTAACTTCACTCGTGGTTATGACTCAATGACATGACGTATTCAATCTATGCACAGCATGGGGCTTTCGTCTTCGGTTTTGAGGCCCGTGTCCTGGTAGACTGGAGGCTCGTTTGGATGCGGGCAGCGAAAAAACGATTAAACTGTCAGCTCGAGTCTGGAGTCTTGTGTTGCCACCGAATTGCAGCAGAAGTTGCTCTCCATTGAAGCACTGACTTTGGAATCCGTGGTGTTGCAGGCTTTGGCGGAATGTGCATGACACATGTGAAGCCCTGGATTCTGTCGGATGGGACCCAAAGTCAAAGGAACCCCGAGCACCCTAGTGTATTCTATACTAAGGAGACAATTTAGAGCGAAGCCACCCTGAACAAGCCCGATTAATTTAGTGGCATTTTACACATTCGAGTCTATGCAAAGCAGACCCGAAGTCTTTAGTCTCACTAATTATAGAAGTCCTAAAGTATACCGGCCAACATGATGGGTGCTAGTAATTGTATAATGTCTTATTGAAGAAATATTATCTTAATACGCTTAGGAGCCAAACCCAAATAGTATCATAACCAGTCCTAGTGCTGGACCTCGAGATTGTCATAATGAGTGAACCCAAATTCCACATAACCGAACCCTTAATCCTTTATTGGTTTCTTTGTGCTTGACCACAAAACAAAAGGCCTGAATTGCAAACGAAAGCCGCCTCAACTAGTTTAGTTTCAGCCATCGTGCATTCGAGCTCCTGGTCCTGGTTGGTTCGCAGCCGATCCATCCAGAGATTCTCGGCCGCAGAGAGATGTGAAGTCAGGGTGTGGGGTTCGGGATATTTGGCCAGATTTGAAGAGGCTGCCTGCACTTTCATTCATTACACGAAACTTACAATCACAGTCTAGGGTTTCCAGGAAGGCCCGGCCAGGCGGCCAGGCGGCCGGGATTCGGGCTCGGGTCTGGATTGGCCGACTGGTCTTAAAGAGAAAGTAGAAGGGGATGCCTGGTTCCCGGGTTATTTAGTAAGGGTTTTAAGAGGGCTTAGACAGACCTCAAAATCGGAGGCCGTTCTCGCATGTTTGCGTGCTCGCTCGACCATAACGTGCTCGCTCACACGGTGCGTGCTTGCTCGATACTGCGTGCTCGCTGCACACACGCACACCCGCAGAAACACGCACCTGCACGCACGGTGCCGGCACAAACAAGTTCACGGGCACGATGTTCCTCTAGATCCGGACCATGCTCCCTAAACGCACATTCCTCCAGGCATCCTTCATTTTGCAGCGTGCTTGCCCGAAGTGGCGGTCTAAAAGGATAGCGTGCCCGCGAACTTTTTTTTGCCCGCAACCCGTCGCACGCTGACCGCCCGAGCGCCGACGGGAAATCGAGCAAGCATGAATCCGCATCTGAGGACGAGCCGAATCATGGCTGGTTTCCAATGGCTGGGAGACAGGCTCCGAGAGCTGTCGCAGTGGCTTGGCTAATCGTATACGTGCTCGCTCAATCACAAACGTGCTCGCTCGGACTTCTAATTTTGCTGGGCTCTTGGCCTCAGGCTGAACAATGACAGTGAATCCGCTGACCGGGGCCACTTCATCGAGAAGCTTGGGAAAAAAATTAATTTTATTGACTGCTCCTTCCTCGAGAACAAGAAGCTGGGAGATCTCGACCTCACCCCGGAGACCTGGGAGGACCAACTGTTATCCCAATTCTCTAGAGGCAGACAAAGACAAATACAGAGAGACTGGGAAAAGACAACAAGTAGAATACAGCAGGAGAGGCCCAGCGAGAGAGAGAGAGATGGAGAGAGCCAGAAAGAGATAGATAGAGAGAGAGAGAGAGAGAGAGAGAGAGAGAGAGAGAGAGACAGAAAGAGAAAATAAGAGATAGACAGGTATACATGTAAATGCATGTACATGCACCCATATTTAGACACTGTATACTCGTATCTTTCTCTTTTATTTAGTTACTTGCCTACCTATCGAATCTGTTTGTTTCTTTCCATCTATCTACCTATCTTTCTACACGCAGACACACACAGACACACAAGCACAGCATAAAGTAGGTGGAAGCGAGAGAAGCAACAATGTCAGTCATGCACATTTACGACAAGCCACCAAAACAAACACCAAAGCGACAAACAACAGCAACAGCAACAACAACCACCTGAACGACAACCGGCACCACAACAACAACGACCACGACGACGACAACAACCGCAACGACCACAACCACAACGACAACAACAACGACAACAACAACAACAACAACAACGACGCCAACAACGACGACAACAACAGGGAGGAAGCCACACAGACACACAAGCACATGAACACAAACACACACACACACACACACACCATAGTCACTTCTTCGTGCCCTCAAACAAACAGGAGGCACTGGACATGCATCGTGCCGCCTTCGCCAAGCAGAAGATTTATCTCAGACCGAGGATCTTTCAGAAGAATGCTTTGGCCCAGGCACCGCAGCAGCAGCAGATGGAAATTGAGCGGGACGGCGAGTCCCAGCACAGCAGCCCGCCCAGCTCCTCCCAGAGATTCACGGAGACCCAGATCTTGTACCTGAGATCGCAGAGTGCTGTACGTGGTGTGCTGCAGCTGCACAAGTTGGTCCCGGAATGCAATTAGTCATTTCCTGCACCTTTTGGTGTTCGTGTGTGTCTCTCTCTTGAAACATTTTGCTGCTGTCCCCTCGCGAGGTTACTGAGAAGCTGGAGGGCTACAGAATCCTTCTACGTGCAGAGGAGGTGTGGGCTATCACGAAGCGAAGCCAGCTCTACTCGAACTTCTTCACCAAACTGAATCTGTGCTGCACAGTTCATGCAAGTTACATTCTTGCCATCAGTGAGTGGCTTGTCTACTGATAGTAGACTGATTGATGTGGCATCCAAGACAAGACGGACTGGCATTAGATATCGCCGAGAGCTGGCGGCTCCATGTGGACACCCACATGATCCGAAAGTCGTCTTACAAGGGGCACGGCAGCAAAGTTGCGCCGAACAGGATCAAGATACCCTTTGAGGGGTTAACATTGCCGGGTGCGATTTTCACGGTGGCTTGGAGGCTATATTAGGCTTCCTTTCCGAACGCCGTTGCCATGCAATAGATTCGGACAAAAGACAATCCTGAAATAACCCAGGCATCCTACGTGCTGCAGACGAGGGGCTGCCGCCCCGATGTGCAGAAGGGTGCATTTGATTGCCTGGGTGTGATTCTTGGGACGTGCTTATGCGGGAGCCTCAAGATTCCTCTGCTCCCAGGCAAGGAGCAGTGTGACTCGGATTGATTCAGGTCAGCGAGACTGACTGAGACAGGGACGGGGAGGCAGATAAATTACCCCAGTAATTTAACAATAATTATTTAATTATAATATTATAATTTAATAATAAGAAGAAGAATAATGATCAATAAATTATTAATCTTTCTCATAAAGATTAATTTAGTCTTTAGCCCTTAACTTATCCCTAAACCCAGACTACTAAACCCTACTACTAAAGCCCTAAAACCCTAAACCCAAAACCCTCACCCAAAACCCTCACTCCTAAACCCTTGAGCGCCGAAACCCTTGGAACTGGGAATTACTGTCAGTGACACTGCGAATCACCGGTTAAGTTTCTGATCTCTAAATCCAAAACCTTAACAATTCTCCTTGTGTTCTCATCCCTGAGCCCGCACACAGTCTTGACCTAACTTCACGAATCCCTCGATCTCCCCTCTCTCTCTCGCTCTCTCTCTCCCTCTCTCTCTCTCTCTCTCTCTCTCTCTCTCTCTCTCTCTCTCTCTCTCTCTCTCTCTCTCTCTCTCTCTCTCTCTCTCTCTCTCTCTCTCTCTCTCTCTCTCTCTCTCTCTCTCTCTCTCTCTCTCCCTCTCTCTATCTCTCTCTCGCTCTCTCTCTCGCTCTCTGTCTCTCTTGTGTCTGTTTCGGGTTCTTCGCTGGTTTGCTCATCGAACCGAACCACTAGTTCTTGTTGCTTTCGAGGTCTCTTGCATATTGCGAATGGTCACGTCACTCTGCAAAGCTGGAAGCGATTCCTGGATTATGCTGCTGCCACTGAGAGGCTTCTCTCGAATCGATTTTGGATCCAATTGGGAGCTTTGTCACAGCACCCTTGGCTTTCGCAGGTGGCACCACTGCAAGCTGCTCAGCAAGGCAGAGCAGAACATCGACACAGGCCCCAGAGACAATATAGGTTAGCTTGCAACTCGTGCTTGACAAGCTAGCAAGCCGCATCCTTTGATTGCAGGCATTAGATTGCACGTGGCTACGTGGTTCATTTTGCGACAGCCCCATCAGGACAAGTTCCAGGACAGACAGATTTAAATCTGATCCCAACATCATTTAACACCAAACCGTGTTTCTCTGGCTATCTCTCTCTCGCTCTGTCTTGTGTCTTTTGGGGTCCTTCCTGGCAAACCATGACCGTGTGCTACCTTTTGCAGGACCAAGTGACCTGGGGCAGGCTTCAAAGACGCCTGCTTCATGCACTCAGCCAGGAGGCAGAGAAGGAGATCATAAACATCGCCGAGCCGGAGATGCCTGCATTGCAGCCCGACCACGAATTCCACCCCATGACCAAGTTTCCTAGCCGCACATCATGGATATTCCGTTCTCTTCAGTAGACACCCCAAATGTGCCCGCACGCCATCTCACAATGCCCACCCGGCCTTTCAGGGACGGCAGAGCTCTTCGCGAAGATTGCAAGCCTCGGGCACAAATGGCCATCGACAGATTTATTTCCCGAGGAGGGGGCTTTTGCTCCAAGGGCATGGATGCTTCGCTGAAAGATGTTGGTCTCGAGGCTATGTGCCCGAGTCATTATCAGAGGACTGTTTGGGATAATGCTGGGGTATGTTTTTTGGGGACTTAGCTAGAACCTTTATTGCCTGGTGGGTTTTATTACTTGTGGTTCTTATACTTAATTAGTATTACAAAGGGTTTCTAGGATATGGTTTACAAACGAATCTCCAGGAGGTCTAACTGCAGTCTTTGTCATTGGCTAGTGACAAGACTAACTTATTGCCTGTGACCCATTGACACCAACTCCCGAACAGAACCCACAGGTAAAGCCAGGGATCAATAACCAGCAGGACCACCTCGGATTTTATGTGTCGATATCTTCGGCGAACTCAAGATGATCTGAAGGAGGCCCGGCAAACGTCTATCGGACTTAGACTTGAGTCTCCCTTCCCTGAATTGCACAGGAATTGAGTCAGATGACATTCAAGAGTGTGGGGGTGCTCTGCGATGCATCTCCGAAGGCGAAGATGGATGTTACTCGATTGCAATAAGACTGCTGGCATCTCGCCCATTTTGGGATTCTCTCTGCCACTGTTGCTATGCTCAGATTTGGCTTCCCATCATCGTGATGCCGAACAAGATCGGGCTTGCTACGCTGCAAAGGCTGAGCGGTTTGCTCCCCTCAAACGCGAGCCCTGAAGATAAGATTCAAGTCGCCGAAATGGTCGCCGACTCCCGGACTGTCAATGTGGCGGTGGCCTGCACAAAGCAAAAGGAACTGAAAAAGAAGCTGCAGCTCGGTCAGCATTTGAAGCATACTGCTGTTGTTGGGTTTGTTCGAGTGAGTCAATCAATGAATGCACACACCCAGGCCCAAAGCCCTCAACGCGATAAAAGAAGAGAAACTTTCGGCCCGCCAAGAGATGAAGGCTGTGATGAATATCCTGAGCCATGTTGGCATGTCTATGGATTCTTTCTTTCCAACAAATCCATTGACTGCAAAAGTCTGTGGCATGGAAGAGAGGCAGGTCCTTAAGCTCAACTCCGAGAACTTTGCATTCATCTACAACACGAGAACGGGGCAGAGCCGCTGGGATGTTCCAATGCACTCCGCCACGCAGGACATCCGCCTTGTGCTTTGTGCTGACCAAGGGTCGCCCCTGTACACCTGTTATCAGTTCTTAGCTTTTTCGGGGGCCAGCATCGGTCTGATTCGCGACGAGCTGCCCCCCGGTGGCAACATGGTTGTCGTTGTGCACATACCATTGAACCCCCCAGCGACTCAGGCCTCCGAACCCGACCCCACTCCCACGCTCAGGCACAAATTGCATGCACATCAAGGAAGGGTGACCTCCTGCACTCCTGTCGTGAAACGCTTCCTCGCTGCAATTACTGAGGCGATTTGGGTCCTGATTCTGATAACTGCAGTACGACCAAAAGACATGTCCAGGAATGACGATGCTATGTGGATGGCTCTTTCGGGCCAGGAAAACCCCGTGGCACACGCAGGGATTCGGGAATCAGCTCTCTGAAGCCGGTGAGCGGTACATGCAAACAGCAACACAGCTGCACGTTTGAAACGGGCAGTAACAGTCTCTTGTTCACGGCTTGTTGTAGCAAGATTGCAATTTAGGCGAAGCCCGGGGACGTGTTGATGCAAATGTTCCAGCGAGACATCCTCAAGGAGAGTCTTGTCTTAATTATTAGAAACAAAGCGCCATTCGACTGACCCAGATTATCCTGCCATGCTCAATGCCAAGGAACGATTTCGAGGAGACCAGCGACGAGCAGCTGAACTTTCGCAGGGTGATGGACATCCTCGGCAAAGTGTGCAAGCAGCTGGTGTGCATTGTGGTTTAATGGGTTTGCTTTTAGTTCAGGCTTTAGGGCTTAAGGCTTCTAGTCTAGAGTTTAGTACTAATACCATTGACGGTCTTAATTAGTTGATGAATAGAGTAGTTTGGGGTGTAATAGCATTTGGGGGGTGGTTGGTTGAGTGTTACGGATAGCAAATCAGCATAATAAGTTTTGTTTGGTTGGTTTCCAAAGGTTCAACTCCGAGACCTTTTCATGGTCTCGCTGGTGCAGTTTCGCACACACGGCGAAGCGATTTCAGATGAGTGCCTCCCTGCTCTTGATTTTCTGGAGTGCAATGGAGGTCGGAGTGCAAGTGCGGTCCTATCGACAATAAAGAGTGCCATCAGCCAATCTTACCCAATACCCAATATGATAATGACGGTTCGAATGAAGGTGGGCAAGAATCCCTTCAAGTGCGAGAACGATGGCGGGCAGCAGGTCAAAAACTACGACAAGACCGTGGACACATGTGTGAAGGCCTGATTGCGACTGTAGCTAATAATCAATCAAGTTAAACAATCCTATCACTACCCTGAAATCTGAGCCTCCTGAAGCCGAGTTCCCAAAATCCTGCGGCATCCTGCAACCCCAGGTGCTGACCAGCGAGGAGTACTTCGCCCTCTTCCAGATTGCCCGCAACATCCTCGAGCCCTACAGGGAGCTTTGTCTTGAACTTGTGCCCAGGCTGCAATAGTGTCTTTGGTGTGCGGAGTTCCTACCTTCGTTCCTGGGGGCCTTTGTCCCTCTCGAAACCTGATTCGCAAACTAAGCAAAAGACGACCAACAAAAAGAATGCCCTGCACGACCACACGCTGAAGATGAACGGTGGAGCCCTGGAAGAAACCCTCGTCAATCTGGCCACGACGGCCTGCACCGCCCGCCGTCTGGGCATGCTTCCAGACATCGCGGTCTCTGGACAGGCCGGACTTATAATCTCGAAGTTGTGTAGCTGTCCGATCTCACTTTACAGGATTCTTGCTCTTTGCAGCTACATTGTCTGATGGCTCGGTTGCCTTCGACACAATCAGCTAACCAATGCAATTGACGATCATGATTCTATTCGAGCTACTACTGCTTGGAAATTGCAGAATCGGCGAGTGCATGTGCCAAGTTAAACCTCGAAGAAGCTCGGCTTAGACGTTCCCGTTGAGTAATTATCCGAGCATATTATACTATTGGGGCAGAAGGAGGGAGGGAGAGACTGAGAGAGAGAGAGAGAGAGAGAGAGAGAGAGAGAGAGAGAGAGAGAGAGAGAGAGAGAGAGAGAGAGAGAGAGAGAGAGAGAGAGAGAGAGAGAGAGAGAGAGAGAGAGAGAGAGAGAGAGAGAGAGCGAGAGCGAGAGAGCGAGAAGAAGGGCCGAAACTAACGAGTCGTACAACAATTATCTTTTCTTGCTCATCCTGGGGCAGGTGCTGACGGTTAAGTTTCGCAGAGCCGACTCGCTCTCCAGTGCACTGAACGAGGGCCACAAGATGCTTTTGGCGAGCATCCACGAGATGATGCAGTATGTACTGTATCTTCGCAGTGCACCTGCGAAAGCAGCAGCTTTGTTGTCGACGGTTGAGGACGACCCCACCAAGGGCGCCGTTCTGAAGGCGATGGAGCAGGAGTGGCGGCTGGTACTCGCCCTGGAAGAGACCCCTGCCGGAGCAAACCTCCTTCGGCAGAACTGCAGCTTTTGCTCCTTCCAGCAGTACCGAGAGCTCATGACAGTGCACGAAAAGAGTGGCTGGAAGATGACCCGCGAGACCGCGGCCCTCACCGCGGCTTGGTTCCCGCCGACGGCTTGGTCGGCATCCTTGGAATCCGTTTTCGGAGACCTGCAGGATGCGACGAAACGCTCCGGTCGCAGTGACTGCGGCTCACTCCCCAACCTTTTCGCGGTTGGGGTACGGTCGCTGCAGAACAGGCTTTGTGTGCAGGATGGATCCACCGGTCAGGTGAAGTTGCGGGCTGATGATTGGACAGGAACACAAGCCCTCGGAGTGAAACCGAAAGCTTTCAACCCTGCCTCTGCTCCAGCTTGTTCCTGGGCTGTATGAATAAAGTCTCTCCTTTTGTGGAATGTGACAAACATGTTGTCAGCCATCAACCACCGAGCTTGCCCCAGGCCAGCATGTTGCCGTGGACAATATCCTGAAGCCGTTTCCGAGCACGACCGCCTTCTTCCACAACCACCACTGCCTCAACTTCATGTTGGGGCTCCGCAAGGCTCAGCAGCACCCTGAAAGCAAACCAGGGCTGAAGTTTTCTCGTGCTTTTGCCGACAAGCACGAACCGAGGCAGGGCAAGAACCCCGCCGAGGAAGCAGCGAACTTCTGGGTCCAGGGCTGCTTCTCGTCTGGCATGCTCTTGAAGTACTCCGGCAAGTTCTACTTGGCCACGGGCTGCACGCCAGCCGTTCTCACCGCATCTGGGATTGAGTGTGAGCTTTACACATGTATCGTTTTGCTCCGAAGCCATGTGCGATGTTGCCCGGTCTGAGGCTGTTTGCTTGAAAGAGCTTCCCTACCTCTTCAAGGGACCCCTCCCGACGGCGACGACCGACGAGACGCGAGTGCCTTGCCATCCGGCCGACGACGTGGATCTGCTGAGCCGGGATTCAAGCACACCTGCTTTGGTGCTGGACATTGGAAGGCTGGGTTCCGACAGAAGTGCTGCAGTTCCGCACGAATTTCAATTAGTGACTGCTGCAGGAACATGATTCAGCAGCTCCGCTTCGACTACGAGGAGGCCTCGTAGTTGGCACGACACTGTGAGCTGATTGTTCATGGCGTTTTGCAAGGTGAAGCTCTTCGACTACACCTTGCATGTCTGCGAGGGAAGCCTCGCAGACAAGTGTGGCTCGGCCGTTGTGCTGAGACGGGGCAGTCAAGAGTTTTGCTTGCTTTGCTTCTTAGTGCACTCAGAGCTCATCCTCTCGAGCTCCAGCGCCTCTTTGACGGAGTTGTTGCAGAAACACGACATCCAGATGCCTAAGAACTCCACGAAGCCTCACAAGGTGAGGCGAATCTTGGCTATGGAGAAGGTGCAAGAGGTATGTTCTGCAAGGACCATCGCGAAGCTGCTGGCTCGATTGGATGAAGCAGATGCAAAGAAGAAGAGCAAAGAGAGAGAGAAGAACGAGGATGATGTTGTGGCCGAGGCGCTTTTCGTGAGAACGTATTCATACATGTTCTGCTGAAAGACTGACGGAAAGAGAGAAGAGATGTAGGAACCCATCGCTCGCGAGGCAGAAGTCCAATGGGAGGAGCTGCAGGAAGATCCTGCAGCACAGGCCTGCCAGGAGCTGCTGGCAAGGCTCGACGAGGAAGAAGAGAAAGAAATGGAAGAGAAAGAGAAGGAGGAGGACCATCAGCTGCCACAGTTCTGTATGTTTAGCCTCGGGTTGTGAAGAGCTGCAGGGCGAAGCGGCAGCACCCAAGCCGTCGACGGAGCAGCAGAATCGAGCTTCCCGGGCATTGCTTTCCTCGACCACCTCCTTGCCTGATGATCTTGTGAGGATGATGCCCATTCCAGAGGGGGCGGCAATGCACCAGACGGTTCATTGTGATGCTACATTGCCCCACTTCCAGGGCAAGCTTCTCGGCAACTGCTTCTACGAGGGGAAGCATCTCGCCAGCACCTTTTGCATCAGTTTCAAGGTAGGATTGATATCATCGAACCGCTGCTGAATCCACAGCTGCCGCCAAGGTCGACTTGTGCTGCTAGCTTCAACCCGGCACTTCCGGAAAGCGAGCTGGACAAGAGGCGAACCAGCCTCAGGAGTATTGCGGCCTCGAAGAGATCGAGGGCACAGGCATATTTTATAGTCTGGACACGGCTGTGCAAAGCAACCGGAAGTGCACCGCCTGCTGCGAAGCGCCAGAGGTGCCAGTAGAGGGTTTGGGGATTGATGCCGAAGTCTGAGTAATCAAACAAGAGACTTAAACTACATGCTCGAGACGCTGGCATCATGATTTCGCTGTGAGATCACGGCACGGCAGCGGGGATCCAGAGGCCGAGAAAAACAGGTGAGCGAGCACGATGCCAGCTTGGAAGCACCCAGGTTGAGCAAGCATGCCTAGTGAAGCCCTTGATTTAGGGTTTATGGGTTTTGAGGTTTAGGTTTTAGGGCTTAGTAAAGGTTTAGGGATAGACGGGTTTAGGGTCTCTATTACTTGTTGGCTGTAAACTAAACTTTTCAACTTTTGGGGTTCTTATAAGGTAGTCGATTCTGAAAGTTTCAACTTTTGTTTTTTGGGGTTTTGGGTCAGTGAGATTAAGGGTTATGTAGTTTTCCGGCTTTAGGAGTTCAGGAACAATGATTGCCAAAGTCGGGGCTTGTTGCAATTATGATGGGAGGCTTTTCGACTCTGGCTTCGGAAGTCGACTGCTTGAGGATTTCGGATGTCGGGTTAGGGCTGTCTTCTGCCAATTGGAATGCTGGTTTGACGTCAGGGTTAGGGTTTAGGGCTTCTAAAGGCTTAACTGGGGTTTAGGATGTGTGGACTTCGGTGCCTGGGTGCTGTAGGATTTCTGAATACTTATTAGTGCAAATTTCCTCAGGATCCCGTATAGCACTGTAGAGTATAGCATAGCCTTACACCCTGAACCCTAGACCAACCCCGTTCCCATTTATTGAGCCCCCTGTCCAACCCTAAACCCTAACTCCCGAAACCCTCTTCCTATCCATCTAGGATGCCCAGTAGTACCCTTATTCCCTTTTTGTAGTCCTAGGTTCCATATAAAGTTACCCAATACCCAAAAAGGGAGCCCTTTTTATGCCTAGGTTACTGGGCATCCTAGCCATGAAGGCCCCAATAAACAGTCTGCCGGTCGAAGGCTGGGTTCTCGACCTACGACTGCTCAGAAGGATCCGGGCAGCAGTTGGCAAGAGTTGCTTTTGTTGTTATATACTTATATACTAGTCATAAAATTTGACTAGTAGTACTAGGATTGGTATCACCATACTTGTTTGGTTTTAGACTGTTGTTGTCATTAGTATTTTAAACGCAGTATGAGTATCGGTAATATCACGCAGTATTAATAGTATTAGCATTGGTCTCATCATCATTCTTTATTGTCGTTGGTATTACTATTTCGATGATTAGTTGAAGGTATTTATGGTTTGGGGTCAGGGGCCCTAAGCCCGAAAATCCTACAGAACCCTGAACGAACCCTTTATGGTACCGCTGTAGAAAGCTGTAATCTAGAAACTCAAGCCTTGCAGTATCCTCAGAAACCCTACTTCAAGGATCATGGAACTTCGTAGCTACCACCAGAGTCAGACATGAAATGATTAGCTACGCTTCTAATTACTTACAGCCCCAATTCAGGTAGTCGTAGCCTTACTTACTGCGTGCCCTGATCCTCCAAGTACGACGCCCTTATGCCATCCCACAGCAACAGAAAAAGCAACAAGCAAGAATAGCACCAGTAGTTTTAGCAAAATCAACACCAAGGTCGATGGCAATACTAACAGCAATGACGACAGTAACAGTAAGTAGAAAACAAAAAAGCCCGATACTAGCAATAATAGCCGTCATAGTAATACTTAAAGATTTAAAGCAACGAGAATAGCAACCATGAAGCAGTACGTAGCAACAAAAATCACAAAAATCCGAAGCTCCGGTCAGGAGAGATCCGACGGCCGATCGCAGTCCCCAGTGCCTCCCGGCCTGCGGGGTCAGAAGGGCTCCGAGATGCTCGGGCCCGTGGAGAGCTTAAGGCCTCGCTCGAAGTCCCCAGCCCCCGAGGACAGCCCGTCGAAGAATTTCGGGGTCAGGCCGGTGGGGAGAGCGCCCTTAGCTTCAGAGAAGCCTCGCTCTGCTGGTGGGGGGGGCGGTCTTCTTGGCCTGGGCCCGGTGGATAGCCTTCGAGGACGCTCCCAGTCCCCTGCACCCGACTTGGGCTCAAAGCCCTCACAGGGGCGAGGCCGGGGGCCATCTTCGGGCATGCTCGGGCCCGTGGACAGCTTAAGGGGTCGATCCAACTCACCCATGCCGGAGAGCCCTCCCTCCAAGATCTTGGGCCTCGGCCCCGTGGAAACTCGGTGGCACCTTGGGAAACTATTAATCTCCCCTTATGGTTTCTATAGATCTTAGAGGTACCTATTCATAAACACTTTCAAGCTTTTGAGGGCCCCTAAACTACAACCCAGGATAGCTTGCGGGGCCGATCCCAATCTCCAGCCCCGGGCTTTGGCATCGGCCGTGACAGATCCGAATCCGCAGGACCGGCATGGGCTCTGGGTTTTGGGGTTCAGGGTTTAAGGTTTAGGGTTTAGGGTTTAAGGTTTAGGGTTTTAGGGTTCAGGGTTTAAGGTTTAAGGTTTAGGGTTTAAGGTTTAGGGTTCAGGGTTTAAGGTTTAGGGTTTAAGGTTTAGGGTTTAGGGTTCAGGGTTTAAGGTTTAGGGTTTAGGGCCTTCAGGGTTTAAGGTTTAGCGTTGAGGGTCTCTGGGCTATCATTCAATCCACTCAAAGAAGCTCTGCCAGACCTACATGACATGTTCGGTGTGTGCCAAGTTCCTTCTATGCGGCCTCAGACAGGGTAGGGCTTTGGAGGCGAAGAGCTGCAACTCTAAATCCTTAACGCCCAACCCTAAGCCCTCCACCCTAAACTCTCAACTCTTGACCCTAAACCCTCAGCTCTTAACCCTAAACCCTCAACTCTTAACCCTAAACCCTCAACCCTAAACCCCCAACTCTTGACCCTAAACCCTCAACTCTGAATCCCTAAACCCTCAACTCCCAAACCCTAAACCCTAAACTCTTAGGGTTAAAAAGCCTCACCTCTTAACCCTAAACCCCTAACCCTAAAACCTAAACCCTAAACCCTCCACCCTATAAACCCTGAAAGCCTAAGCTCTCAACCCGAAGCCCTCCACCCTGAGCGCGTGTCCCGCTCCTCTGCGAGGATTCGGCAGTCGACAGCCTTCGCCGAATCCTGAGGCCGTTTACTTTAAGGGGTTTAGGGTTTTCTTAAAGGGATCTATAGGGTTCCTTAAAGGGGTTTAGGGGTTTAAGGTTTAGGGGTTAGGGGTTTAGGGGTTTAGAGTTTAGGGTTTAGGGTTTAGGGTTTAGAGGATCAGGGGACTTAGGGCTCCTTAATGGGATCTATGGGGTTTAGGGTTAAAGGTACCTTTAAAGGGGTCTATAAGGGATACTATGCGGGCTATTATGGGGATGTGGGGTCTACTTGGAGGATCAGGGGACTTAGTAAGGGGTTCTTAAAGGGCTCCTTAAAGGGATCTATACGGTTCCTTAAAGGGATCTATAATAGGGATTAGGGTCTACTTCTAGTGCTGTGAGGATTTTTTGGTTAGGGGTTTAGGGATGGGGGGGATTTGAGGGTTTGGGGGTTTAGGGTTTAAGTTTAGGGATTGGGGGATCTAGGGTTTAGGGATGCGGGGTTTAGGGTTTAGGGTGTACACAGTAAAGCATCAAGGGAATATTAAACAACAAATCTTCATGTTTAGTTTAGTAAAACTCCGAAGCATTAGGTTAAACATACATAATCCTGTCTTGGTGAAGAGAGATGAAAACTCCACGGGGTAAACAGAAGATTTGACAAGTGTTGGATGTGTGAATTCATGCATTTCGGAACTCCAGGTGTTAAATCGCATGGATACCCTGTGCAACAGAATGCCTTTTGTGCCCTTATGGATCCGCAAAACCTACAAAAGCAGCCTGTAACTCGCCTTTTATCTACCCACGGTTGCACTTTTCCCCTGCGTACGAGATATCCTTGCCAGTGCGGGCAAGCATGCATGATTCAATTTCCAATTTCCGCGGCATCATTCTGCAAGTACTATTGTTGATTATATAAGTTGCATGACCCATAAGAAGGAATATACCATAATTCCCATAGTCTAGGGTCCGTAGGGTAATGCAGGATTTTTATCATCAACCGTAGTGACAGAAAGTTGTGATGGAATTCAGGGCCAACGTGCAGCCATGAGGGGCTTAAGTCTTCAAACCTCTTCCTTAAACCCTGAATCTTAAACCCCGACCCTAAAGCCGAACCATTTGTTAAACAATATGTTTAGTAGTCTATTGGGTTCTATATAAACAAAAGCCGAGCATAATTCCTAAGGACACTATAGTTCCTGCAAGTGCATACGATGAAGCCCCGCATGAGGCCGAAAACCCAAAAACGAATCCTTTGCAGGACAGCTGGAGGGACGATCTCTCTTATGCAGGCAGCGAAGATCCCCTAGCCGCACAAGGACAGGCGAGGGTTTAGGGGTTTAGGGTTGAAGGTTTAGGGCTCAGGGGCTGAAGTTGCAGATACCCAGCCACGCAGTTCGAGAGGTCTTAGCGACAATAATGGCGAATTGCTTTGTCCTGTTTATAAAGCATAATTAGCCGTTTACGGACTATGCGGGGATATCGAAACTAGCCAGTTATACAGACATCTGTAGTAACCGCTCTGAGCATTGATCTTGCGGCTTTCTTCTGCTGCCACCCAGTAGCGTCAGTGTGGAGGGCTACGCAAAATGAGTAGCAACGTCCGCTTACAGTCCCTCCATCGTTAAGCTATAGCATACCCCCAAATCTACTCAAACTGCAAAGGCCCCTACTAGACTGCTTCCGTACACTCCCAAAAATCTCATCAAAGCCTTATGTTCGAAGCGTTTCGAAAGCTTAAACCCGCAAAACACAACAAAAACAAGCCCTAAACTCTGAAGACAACAACCGCCAGCCGCAAGAAACTTGAAGTACTGTAACCCTTAACCGCCAATGCGAGAAACTCGGAGAATCAAACACCCCTCATAGTTGAGGAATATACCTTAAACTACAAAATGAATCCATCCATAGTGTAAGCTACACTCTTCAATTAAAGGATTTTGGAGTCTCTGGGAACCCCTTCGCGCTTCTAGACACTTCTAGCCCCCTT